ACACACACACACACACACACACACACACACACACACACACACACACAGACACACACAATCACTCTTGCCAGCAAAGCATTTGGATTATTCACGCACAACTCACATTCTCAATCGGGCATGGTTACAAGATGCTGATCCACCATTTAAAGAACACACCAGATAGAAGAGAGCATGTTTTGTTAAATTCTAAAATCAGTTTTAAAAGACGGCACCCAGGAGATGACACCCAGAAGCAGCAGTCTAAATTTTACACTGAATTCATCACACAGCTTCAGAAGTTCGTACCAGATTAATTTTGGCCTCATTAGTCTTTAATGGTCCATATGTTCGGCTGAAAAGATGCGCAACCTCTGGAGGACTTGAGTTTAATGAATCCCCCTAGTGAGTAAAATCAACAGTGGGCAGCGGTAGTTAAAGTATTCACTCCCTCGACTTTGTGCAACAATTTTATTGCAACAAAATGAGCTCAAAGCACAAATCTGGATTGTAAAAGTCATCCTCTTTGAGTTCTTAAGATGAATTTTCTTGCTCTCAACATTACTTTAACTATATTATTCCTACTTTTTCTTTAGCTTATAGTGAGATTATAGTGACATCTTTTTATGTCTCAGAGCACATTTTACACCCAGCCCTTTCATATACCTTTAAAGGATTTAAGGGTGCCGTTAGTCACACGATCCTAAAGCACAATAATGTTTTCTTTCACATTGACCCATCAGTGTATATTTAATCTCAATAGGAGCACTTCCCACCAGGTTATTAACTTTGTTTTCTGTAATGTCAATCATTAATGCAATTACATGAAAACTAAAATAACAAACAAGTATTTGTAACCTTGAAATCCACATAAACACTTATTTTGTGGCTGTTAAACAACAAAATATGTATTTTGTTGTATATGAGAACTACTTTTACTACTGATATACTTGTTTATGCATAGATATGTTGGTGTTTATGTGTTTGCATTCATATGTTGCTAATCATATACAAAATGTATGCACCCAAGTGTAACTATCATGTTAATAAAGGGGCTTTTTACTCACAGTAACTCGCCCGACATCAGTCTCTAGATGCATTACTGCAAGAAAGGGGGAGACCTGTACCTCTAATTCTCCATTTCCTTGACCCGCCAGTGCGTTTTGCACCCTATCGGCCTCAAGACATCGCCCTCAAACCTCTGCTGTTTGAGGTGCCCAGCATCACCATGGACTCCGTCTTCACGGGCCGCGAGTGGCTCTTCCAGGAGATCGATGCCCACCTCAACAGCCCCAACGCCAGCACCAACCGCGGCGTGGCGGTGGTGGGCAACATCGGTTTCGGCAAGACCGCCATCATCTCTCGCCTGGTGGCGCTCAGCTGCCACGGCACCCGCATGAGACAGATCGCCTCCGACAGCCCTCAGGCCTCGCCCAAACGTAGGCGCCCGCTTATTTCTTCAAATGATTGCAGTGTTTTTATGTACCAGTGAAGATGGTGAACTGATGAAGATTCTTTCCTGAACTCCATCGTAAAATGTCAGTATTTTAGAAATGTCTGATAGTCTCACTTCAACCTTTATTTTAAGAGTAAGCAGTGCGCGAAAAGATGGCATGAATGTCTCACACGTGTTAGAGCTGTGCCTGAGCGTGTTGTGCTGTCTTGTGTCCAGATGGAGAGGGGCTCCCTCTCACTCAGCCTCAGCCCACGCACGGCACCCTGGGAGGAGGCAGCTGTCCCGGGACCCCCGAGATGAGGCGACGTCAGGAAGAAGCCATGAGGAGGCTAGCGTCTCAGGTACCAGATACAACTGTGACCGTGCACACGCATTTCAGCCTCTGATTTACAGAAAAAACACACCTAACGCATTCGTCTCCAAGTACTTAAACACTCAGATACTTCTTCCCCTCCCATTGGCTTCTTTTACAGATGCAAATGATCTATTTATCAGCCATTTGCTCCAAATATAAGTGTGCTTGTAGTGATTTTCAATATGCAATTTCCAGCTTTCAATTGATGGTTGCGTATTACGAAGAAGATAAGTGCACAAGCCTGAGCCACTTATGAATATTTCCACATCCTCCAAAAACTTCCATTTACCTTTTTTCTTTCACAGTTGTGTGAAATAAAACAAATATAGATTTAATTGCCAAATGTTATGTCAGGGGTCTCATTTGCGTTCTACTGTATTGTCAGTTCTTCTTTTCTTGTTTTCTTTATCAAAGAGTAAAACTGCATGCTTGATTGTTAAGAGGAAACATTGCTTATGTGGCGTAATAGTACATTTTATTGTTTGTGGTTAAGCGTGAAGTTTCCAGGCCTCTGTCCGTCGGTAATTGAAAAACCCCAAAGATTATTATAAATGGCTTCTTTTAATGTCTTAATTTTTCAATTAGTGACACCAGAGGTGGTAGGATAGGCGGTGATTTGCTCTTTTGAAAATGCATTTCCAAAGTACAAGCACGGACACGGCTTGTAAGCTATCATCGACTCACACAGAGTTTGCTCCCCGAGGTGGTAGACTTCAAAAAAGCTGGACTTAGTTTTTTACCCTTTATGTTAAGGTTTGTGCCGCTCTTCTTTGTGTTAAATGTTGACTTTTATAACACTATAACCGGAGAGTTTAGCTTGCTTTACCTGGATGTGTGAAACCGGCTCTCTTTCGCTCTCTTCTTCCTGTCTGCTGTCGCACCTCGGTCCCCCCTCCCATGCTGCTTAGCCATCTGCATCCCCGGTCCCAGCTTGATGCATTATGCAGATGTGTTTAAAAAAGAAAAAACAACTTTGCCAGGGAGCCTTATGAAATATTTATACCTGCAGAAAGCCATTTCCCAGCCAAGCTATTAGATCTTGTTAACTCTGTGCATTAATAATGGAGCTCACTCCCTTTTTCACCCCTTTTGTTTTAAAGACCTTTATCCCATTGTGACAAAAAATTAGCATTTCATTTTGATTGGTCTTTTTATTTTTCTATCCTCTTTTCCTCACTGCCCTCTGATCGCTGCCGTGCCGTTGAACAATTCAAAGTCTTTGTGATCTCTCAGTCGCCAGGAGCGCTCAGTCGCACCTGCGTCTGTTGTTTTGTTGACTGACCTCCCGGGAAACTCACCTGCCCTCGACTGTCCTCTACTGACGCTGCATCTCAGCACAGAGACACGTTTATTCATTTAACCATAACCATGTTTCGAGTGCATTGCTGTGAAACCCAACAGTTTTAACACTTGACTCCTTCGTGCCACAGTCATCCAACGCATCAGCGTGCACGAGCTAACTCCGTGCACGCTGGAAGCCATGAATTATGAATAGCTAAAACCGTTCAGCGAAACGAGAAGTATTATGTTTCATTATACTGCAATCGTCCACCATGAGGTTGACTCAATCCCAAATGAGTTGTAGCTGTAGTAGACGCTGGGAAAAGTGCCTGTGCTCTGGAAGAAACGTTATTTCTAAAAGTGTCATCTGACTCCCTGACACTGATCCTCAGTTTTGCGATATGGTCATGTTTAGGATTACCAGAAGTGCACTGGAAGTGTTCACCTGTATGTTTCTCTGAGTGACCCATTCTGCGATCTTCTCCCAACTCTCTGTCGCCCCCAGGTGGTGGCGTACCATTACTGCCAGGCAGATAACGCCTACACCTGCTTGGTGCCGGAGTTTGTGCACAACGTGGCGGCTCTGCTGTGCCGCTCGCCGCACCTCGTCGCCTACAGGGAGCAGCTGCTGAGGGAGCCGCACCTCCAGAGCATCCTGAGTCTGCGCTCCTGCGTCCAGGACCCCCTGGCCTCCTTCAGGAGGGGGGTGCTGGAGCCCCTGGATGCACTTTACAAAGGTGAAACACTTCAGCCCACTCGGAAAGGATTTCAATTTCAGCTTTCCCAAATTCAAATATATTCATAGTGGTCTGTGCCCAACACAGGGATCAGAACAGTCACTGAATATATTCATTGCAGAAAACAATTAAAAATAAGAAGGCAGTTTCAAATGGAAGATATGCACTGTAGACTTTATTTCATGACCCGACTTCTCAACAAAAATCTGGGCTTTTCAGAGCTAAAAGGGAAAAGTATGACATTATATTTATTTCTTCTTAATAATCTGTGTAAAGTAAATGTATTGCATAAAAACAATTAATATACTTGTGCAAAATATATATTTTTAATACATTTCTAATTATATAACTCTAAAATACACAAGAATTCAAAAACTACAGCAGTTTCTGCTCTTTAAATTGTTCAATGGTCCAAATGTCTTCACATTCTTCATAAAAACTGGATTAAAAATAGTTTTACTAATTTGTATTACATTCAAACACAGGGCTTTTGGCAATTTGTAATTAATGCCTCTTCAAACCTCAGCATTCAATTTACTGTTTGACTCGAATCCTTGGTGCATGATATTAGATGTAACGTTGTGCACATTGTGCTCAAGATAATCAAGATCAAAGTTGTTAATCTCGATGCTGGAGCGGATTTCTTTTCTTAAAGCTCCCAACTTAATAAACCAAACAAAGGTTCACAGGTGAGGTCGTTCCAAGCTTTCATTTTAAATAGAGATCAAAACCAAATCTGTGATGATTAGTTTTTAAATATGATGTGGAATTTGACTTTGTGGCTTAGCCTGAAGGTCTAACTCACTTGTTGTTTCCAAGCTTCTGCTGAGGAAGGCCATTAAATGTGGTTGAAAGCTCTGGAAACAACAAGTACATTTGATTTCTTTTTTGTTAATCTGTTGTTTCCAAGTCACTGTCACAGTCCATCATTTGTATAAAAATGTGCACTTTTCTCTTTCAGAGAGGAAGATCAACTCTGAGGAGGACCTCATCATCCTCATAGACGGTTTGAACGAGGCAGAGTTCCACAAGCCGGACTACGGAGACACCATCGTGTCCTTCCTCACCAAAACCATCAACAAGTTCCCTCCCTGGCTCAAACTGGTGGTGACAGTCAGAACCACGTTACAGGTAAAGGGACAGACGGTCAGTTTGGAGTTTTAGTCTCTGGAATAAAAGGTAAAAGGAGCTACTCTTTACCTTTTATTCATGAGGAAGAAAGAAGACCATTAAATTAATTATTTTACCTTAGATGACTAAGTATGTTGGCAATTTCTCAAGATGTCTCTGCACCAATATCACTGAATGATTGTGACCGTTTAGGAGATCACCAACGCGCTGCCGTTCCACCGCATCTCTCTGGACGGCCTGGAGGAGAACGACGCCATAGACCAGGACCTGCAGGGCTACATCCTGCACCGCATCCACAGCAGCCCGGAGATCCAGAACAACATCTCGCTCAACGGCAAGATGGACAACACCACCTTCGGCAAGCTCAGCGCCCACCTCAAGGCCCTGAGCCAGGGCTCCTATCTGTACCTCAAGCTCACCTTTGACCTCATCGAGAAGGGCTACCTGGTCCTCAAAAGCTCCAGCTACAAGGTATGAAGGTTGTCCCGCTAGCTAGCACAGCCAGCAGTTGGAGCTGCAACAGTGGCTGCAATGCACAGCTCATATGGGAAATGAGGTGCTAAGTTTTCTTTAGGGTCAAAGAAAACCAGTAATAGTTGTCTGTAAGGGTACACTGCAAACAGGAACATCTGATGGCTAATTCGGCATACTTTCAATGGAGCCAAGTTGCCAAAATGCAAAAAAATCGACTTAAAAAAATCTGACTCAAGTTGTAGCCCACAGCGTTAGTCACTGCATCCATAGCAACAGGGAAGAGATGAAACCAAATATCCTGGTGCTCGTGATTTGCCAAGGCAACACTGGAATGGTATTTTTTATTTACTTGCACTCTGACATGCTTTGTGTAAAAATAGTTTCATACAATCTTCCTCTTGACAGTCGGAACCGAACACCTTCTTGATAAATAATGCAGCTGAATTGTTTAACTGTACATTTCATAATGAAATATTGTATCTCACACCTCCAGGTTCATTTCATTTCATGTATTCAGAAGTGCCAACAGACTCCATAAAAAAAAATGAAAACTGATAAATTCACATTCTCCCCGACCACACGGAATAGTCAGAGACGCGCTGTACAAACACGATGCATTATTCATAGTCTGTAGAGCGCCGGCAAAACAAAATCAGCATTACAATTCAGCTTCTTTTTTCTCAGGTGGTTCCAGTCAACCTGGCTGAGGTGTACCTGCTGCAGTGCAACATGCGCTTCCCCACGCAGTCGTCGTTCGAGCGCGCGCTTCCTCTGCTCAACGTGGCCGTGGCCTCGCTTCACCCGCTGACCGATGAGCAGATTTATCAGGCCATCAACTCTGGTTCGCTGCAGGTAATAATCCTAAAATGTACAAAACCTCCCACCCTGAGACCGTTAAATATATCAAGGCTTTTAGTTGAATTGATGTATTGATGCTGTGATCCAGTGTTACAGTCAACTTTTATGACTTTGGAAAAGTCTGAATATAAAATAATCAATAATAAACTTAATCTCGAGGAAACATCAAATATTCCATCCTCAACCATACAAATACAAGTCTTGTAATGAACTTAGTTGTTCCCTGCTTATAAATAATATCAGCTTTACCTGAGCAATAAATAACAAATAGCATTGAAACGTCGTCTGTGGCTGCAGGGCACACTGGACTGGGAGGATTTCCAACAGCGTGTAGACAACCTGTCAGTCTTCCTGGTGAAGAGGAGGGACGGCACCAGGATGTTTGTCCACCCGTCCTTCAGGGAGTGGCTGATCTGGAGAGAAGAAGGAGAAAAGACAAAGTTCCTCTGTGATCCGAGGTGAGGACGCACAGGAGAAATGGGGGATTGAATGAGAATGCTAACCAACCGATCGAGTCAGCAGTAGAGTGTTCTGTTGATGATATAACATCAGGAATTAAATAGCCGGCTACCTGACGCCATCAGAAGTTAATATTCATCACAAAAATGTGGCAACGAATGCTTCTTCCGACAGCCACCTGCTGCTGTGTCTCTTACATGTACTTTTAAGTCAATGTGTGAATACAAATGTCTCCGTCAGTCGCCGGTACATGATGTTTATCTAGCAGAGGAGGTGTAAGAACATTGTATTCCCTGTTTTATCATTTAAAAAAAACGATTGCACCACCAACGGCACAGGTGATAGCACAATGTAATGACCTGATGAGTCAGTCTGAAGTATTGAAGGACTCCGTGTTCGTCCTCTCTGCAGGAGCGGTCACACCCTGCTGGCCTTCTGGTTCTCTCGGCAGGAGAACAAGCTGAACAGACAGCAGACCATTGAGCTGGGCCATCACATCCTCAAAGCACATATCTTCAAGGTACACTGTTATTTGTCTCCACACACATCTATACAGTCACACACACACTCCCACGCACAGCTGTGGTCTGGGCTCCATAGTGATGAATATTTACAATCCATCTCTCTCTTCAAGGGTCTCAGCAAGAAAGTCGGAGTTTCCTCATCCATCTTGCAAGGCCTGTGGGTATCCTACAGCACAGAGGGCCTTTCAGCTGCACTTTCTTCACTCCGAAACCTCTACACTCCTAACATCAAGGTACAGGCGCTAACAGAGCAGAGGGGAGTCGTGCTAAAAAGATGTTTCTTTAAGTATGTTCTGGGTACCAAATCAAATCTTGAAATATGCTTCGCTAGGAACTTCCTCTCTCTCTCTGGACTGTCTTAACTTTATATGTCCTTATTTTTTACTTTTTGGAGACATTATGTTTTCGGGTTGTCCAACGTCTGTACTTTGGTCTGTCCCATTCTCGTGAAACGCAATATCGCAGGAACACCTTGAGGGAATTTCTTCACATGTTGCACAAACGTCCGCTTGGACTCGAGGATGAACTGATTAGAATTTGGTGGTCAAAGGTCACGTTTTTTGGGCCATAACTTAATAGAATAACATAATGAAGCGATGACATTTTGAACAGACATAGATGTCAACTGCAACTTGACTGTTTGATGGATATATAAAAACCGCGCGGTGGTAATTCTAGTAATTTCTTTTTTTCTACCCAGGTGAGCCGGCTGCTGATGCTGGGCGGCGCCAATGTGAACTACCGCACGGAGGTGCTGAACAACGCCCCCGTCCTGTGCGTCCACTCCCACTTGGGCTACATGGACATGGTGGGTCTGCTGCTGGAGTACGGCGCCTCGGTCGACTCTCCGTCCGAGAGCGGCCTGATGCCGCTGGGCTACGCCGCCGCTGGGGGACACATGGCCATCGTGACGGCGCTTTGCCGCAGGAGAGCGAAGGTGTGTGTGTGTGAAGAGTTTGACTCTCTCCTCGGAGTGTGATCAAGGCTACGATCGAATGTGTTTTGTAATTTGTTTCCCTGATCATCTCCATGTCCCGTTAACAGGTGGACCACCTTGATAAGAACGGCCAGTGCGCTCTGGTTCACGCGGCCCTCAGGGGCCACATGGAGGTGGTGAAGTTCCTCATCCAGTGTGACTGGGGCATGGGGCCACAGCAGCAGCAGTCTCCACAAACCCAACAACAGGCGGCCTTCACCAAGAGCCACGCGGTGCAGCAGGCCCTCATCGCGGCAGCCAGTATGGGATACACAGAGGTACAGCAGGGAGGGAAGGAGGTGTCATGGTTCTGATTATCAGGCTCTCCAGTGTCTTTAACTCCAACACTCATATTGAAAATCTTAGCTGTTTTGTAGTTCTTCTGTTTTAAAGGTTTGAGGTGCACAGTTTTGAAGCTGAAAGAGGGAAATAAATTATTAAAATGCTCGATTTCATTTATTATGAACACATGTCTGTGGCGTTGTGCACCATATTTATGTTTATGTCTCTAATATGTTTATCTGAGTCTGTTTAAAGTAAACTTGGACCTTTTAACATCTGTCATCTCAAATCTTGCCCCCCATCAGATTGTGTCCTACTTGCTGGATCTGCCAGAGAAAGATGAAGAGGAGGTGGAGCGCGCTCAGATCAATAACTTTGACACCTTGTGGGGGGAGACAGGTGGGAATACCTACTTTACATTACACCTGACTCTGAATGCTTAATGCTGTTGTGTGTGGTGGTGGTGTAACGGACCGCCGTTGATCCGGACATGGTTTGGCACGCATGTGAACCGATTAATTGCACAGTTTACCCATCAGAGTTTGAAATAGGTTACTGCCGATCGTTATCGGTCGATACTGTGAAACGGGGATCAGGAGCTTCCATTCAGTTACATTATGATGCGTTCAGGTTCTATTCAGTAAAAAGGAGAATTGAGTGAACGTAAGTTGTAACATTGTCATGATGTGTTCAAATGTAATCTTGTAAAAGGTAGTTTTGGTGAGAAACTAGAAATGAAATACAGTTCTTTGGAGGAGATGTTAGAGAGGGAATTATGACGAAGCAGCTTATAATACATCAATATTTTTATTTTTTATCAATAAAAGTGATTCCCTAATCATTTGGATTATGAAAAAAACCACTATAGACGACTATTGCAAAGTAAAAGGATAACATTTAGAATTTGTGATGGTTTACGCTGACTTCAGGGCAGCTTTTTTACCAGCTGCTATAACAAAACCACAAATAAAAACAATCCGCAAAGGTCGATGTGGCTCATCGGAAAAATGGTTTTGGCGTCTAAAGAAAGTTATATTTGCTCCAAACCGTGACTCAAACGTGATACGATCCAAACCTCTGTGATCCGTTTCACCCCTAGTACATTTGCGTGTGAACTCTCTGGACAAAATGTGAAAAATAGACATCCAATACATATAATTACTGTTTTTCTTCTTAAGGAGGGTTTTGTGAGAGTGTTTTTTTCCGTGTGGCGCTGCGAGGCAGAGCGCTGCAGTGCGGGTATGAGAGATCGTTCTTGTGTGTCTGCTTGCTGCTGCTGCTGCGTCAGATGCTGATGGCAGTGCAGTGGTGTCATTGGAGTACAGACCGGGCTGGGCTCACACGCGTGGGGGGTGGGGAGGATGGATGAGTGTGCTCCAGGGTGCTTAGAAATGACTAGTCTGATTGCCCTGTGGCTGGACGTTGAGAAATGTAATGTGTCATCGTATCCTAAAGCTATGAAAACTCATCGCGAGGCATTATTCCCCCGCTGCAGTTTCATAAAGGCTGCTTCTCGCTGTCAGTCGAAGACGGGGACTTGAGCTCACTCAGCCGTGGTTTGATTGTTTATAAGGGATCAGAGGGATAACAGTTGTTCTGGAAGATGATTTTTAATCCAAGTGTTACCGGATAGGTCAACTGAAAATACATTATTCTTTAACAGCCAGAGGCAGAGTGTGTATGTACTGATGGACTCACTGAACTGTGTATATCAAAGTGTTCTTCCAGCAGAACATTGAAAGGTTGAAAATAGAGCTAGACTGATAAATCGTCTGATGTTATCTCATTACAGATAGATATCAGTATCCGTGTTTATGTCGGCTGATAAGTAACAAACTACAGACAGAGAGTTTGTCTACCGAACAGCACTGAAGAGTTGATTTTTCAACCAAAAAATGTCCCAAGAAATATGTATCTTGGTCTTAATTCCTATAATTATCCTTCACCTTTCAAAAAAACAGTTTTTACAGCATTTTAGTTTGTTTTTATGTGTTTTCTTTTGCCGTTTAGTTTATGGTTAGGTGTTCTGTTTTATTGTAAAAGCACTTCGTAACGGCGTTTTGAAAGGTGCTACATAAATACAGTTTATTATTATCATCAAAAAAGAATCAAAGAGATTTGTATCATCTTGTTTTTTTTATATTATGCATATATGATTTTTTTTAATTCTAGCGACTAATATATCGTTATCGGATGTTTTTTAACTCCCAGATATCGATGTTGGTATCGGCCTCGTAGTCGGTTCGTGTCGGGCTACAGTTGAAACCGGGGTCAACCCCTCTGGGGCTGCTACCACTCCACTTAAAAGAGATTCGTTCTCTCTGCTTAAGTTATTCCATTTATAGTCATTACATTTGAGAAGATGTCTTTTCAAAGACTGTTGCTTCCACAGAATCTCAAGGGTCTTGTCTTCTCCTCTTTCCTCTCCTCTCTTGTCCTCTTCTTTCATCCTCTTTCCTTTTCTCCTCGTTTTATCTTTTCCTCTTCTCTTCACTTCTCGTCTCTCTTCTTCTCTTCTCTTTGTTTGTTCTCCACTTCTATAGTGCACAGATTTATTTTATCAGCTATAATTTATATTTTTTATAACAACATGTATCAATGTATGAACCCACAGAGAATTTCCATCCCAACCTGCAGCTCCCGTTGGCTTTAAAAGGCTTTACAGCGAGCTTCAGCTCATTGTTTATCTGTCCGGCCCTCTAACTTTACTGTGTAGAACAGTTTCACTGCTTTCATAGTGTTGTTTTCAGCCGCAGAAGGCGAAGCGGCTCTAAGAACCCACTGTTCACTCCTGTTAACGACTATCTGGTGAACACAGAGGAGCATTTAGCTGCTATGAGGCCAGATATTTCCCTCAGGAGCTGGTGGTAGAGACCAATATTTAACTTTCATCATTCATCAAATGGACACAAGCATGACTCCAAATGAATAATAATGTTGCTCTGATGCCATATCAACTTTCTATCCACCACCTGTGCCCCACTTGTCCTCATCTCACCCCTGATTCATTGTGTGTCTGTGCGTCCAGCTCTGACCGCAGCCTCCGGTCGGGGGAAGCTGGAGGTTTGTCGTCTGTTGCTGGAGCAGGGGGCGGCTGTGGCCCAGTCCAACAGACGAGGCATCGTCCCGCTGTTCAGCGCCGTCCGACAGGGACACTGGCAGGTTAGTGGCCCCCTGATCCCCTTCCCCTCATTTAATTAAAACATGCACTTGATTTAAGTAGTCTCCAAGACTAAACTAAACTCCAAAAGGCAGTAAAGACGTGGCAATTGTGCTCTAGAAACTGATATTTTTTGCTATTTCCTTCATCTCACAAACACTAAGCAAGTACGACATCAGGCTGCTGTTGACATAATGACACGGGTGCTGTATTTGGGTGTTTTAGATCGTGGACCTCCTCCTCACACATGGCGCCGATGTCAACCTGGCTGATAAGCAGGGTCGTACTCCTCTAATGATGGCCGCCTCAGAGGGACACCTGGGGACTGTTGAGTTTCTGCTGGCTCAAGGTAAGATGCTGTGAAGGAAAACAACGGGTTTAGAGCAGATTTAAAACCACAAATATAAGAATACAAGAATGTTTGGTGTATTTTCTTTTCTCATACTTGTGTTTACCCCGTAGTCCTTCATAGAAACAATTCACAGCCACTGCACTAATAGGAAAGAGTGTAATTAATTAAGTTTTCAAACTGTGTTTTACGATAATTACAGCCAAATTTAATCAGCGGCAGATTTTAAAAACCCATCAAAATGCATTAAGCAGTTAGTTATGAAAAGAATTCGGAGTGAAAGGCTGTGTCTTACTGCTGCCACGTCTCCTCCCAGGAGCCTCTCTGTCTCTGATGGACAAGGAGGGTCTGACCGCTCTGAGCTGGGCCTGTCTGAAGGGACATCTACCCGTCGTCCGCTGCCTGGTGGAGAGCGGAGCCGCCACCGACCACGCGGACAAGAACGGACGCACGCCCCTCGACCTGGCTGCCTTCTACGGAGACTCGGAAGTGGTAAGAGTGTAAATCCACGAATGAAAAGGAAATGTGTTTTTCAGAAATGTGTTTTTGCTTATTGTTACTTCATTTGAATTTTTGGAGGAAATCGTTCATTCTAGTGTGATATTGTATGAAAAATACTGAAAAACGTATACATGGTATCTTATTTATTTTTATTTTAAATTTGAGGAGAAGCCCCTTGAAATGCACCATCTCATTTTCAACACACATATAGAAATTAATTAATAATGAAAGAATTAGTCATCCAAGTTATTTTCAAACGTTTTCCAGCTTCAGCATCTCAGATGAAAACTTGATAGTCTTCATCTTATACTTATATGATAATACCTTTGATATCTTTTGGTTTTTGACTGCTGTTTGGACAAAACAAGTCACCTACAGGTGCCACACCTATGTCTGGGACTAAGACTATTTCCTCAGTGATACACACATGAGTCGGTTTAAATCCCTCTGTACCCGACAAAGAGCCGATCTTTGGTTTCAAATGTTGCACTTCTCTAAATGTATTAACATATGATAAATTGTTCTTCATAAAGCTATTCTCAAAACATCTCTCTCTCTCCTAAGGTCCAGTTCTTGGTTGACCACGGGGCCATGATAGAGCATGTAGACTACAGCGGGATGCGTCCCCTTGACAGGGCGGTGGGCTGCAGAAACACGTCGGTGGTGGTCGCCCTGCTCAAGAAAGGAGCCAAGATAGGTAAGAGCGGGGTGACAGTAAAGAGCCTCCCACTTAGCTCACAAAGGACCCTCTTCTAAACGCAGGCTCGTCGTCCCATAGCACTCTAGCTAAAGGTCATTCGCCTGCCGTGAAATGAGATACAATTTGAGATTGTATTTTTGGCTGAAAAGGTCACGCATTGGAGTTCAAGCATGAGCTGCATGAAAGACCGTGAAGGGAGAATCCAAAGATGAAAAACGCACTTTCTTTAAAGTACACGCCTCCTGCTTGTCATTAAAGAGCACTGTAGCAGTTTACTGCTATGAGCCATGGATTCAGGTTTGTGTCTCCATGGAGCTTTAACCACTTCCTGCTACTGTATGTCGTCTCCCCCCCCACACACACACACGCACTGCCGCTTGTCCTCAGCTATTTATGGCTCTGATGTGCGTTTCTTTTAATTGTACTACTGTTGCCGCTGTGTTGTTTCTCTCTCTCTCTGTCTGTTTGTCTCTATCGCTCACGCTATCTCCCTGTTTCTCTCTCAATCACATCCTCTGTCTCTCTCTCTCTCGATTCCCCTGCGGTTGCTCAGAGACAGGTTATTAGCGCTTGCGATGTTTCTTTTCGGTATCTCTCTGTTTTCCTTTATTTTTCTCCTTTTGCCGAGGCACTTACCTTCCGCTTCTCACTGCTGCTTTTTTTGTGTTCCTTTTCTCACTTCTCCTCCTCCTCCATCACCTCTCTTTTTTCTTTCACCTTCTCGCTGTTTCTATCGCTCTGCCCTCCCACTTACACTCCTTCCCTTGCTCTTGACCTCCTCCTTCTCCCCCCTTCCTCTCCCCTCCCCTTCACCCAATACCCACCCACTCTTGCCCCCATCCCCCGCCTCTCTCTCCGGCCCCAGGATGTCAGACGCTGCCCAGTCGGCCCCGAGGTAAAGCCAAGGCTGTCGACTTCTCACCCCACCAGGCATTTTGACAGCTCTATCTCCTCTCTCTGTGTTGTCTGTGTCGCCCTAAGTGTCGGCAGGCCAGCTTAGCTTCTCAAACTGACAAATAATAACATGCAAAGGTATTAGCACTGACAGTGATGCAGTTGGGATTGCCTAGAGGTAGATGCTAACATTAATGAAAGCATGCCCGGCCTCCGGCCTGTGACGTCGTATCGAGGTGTTGACCTTCCATCCCACGGATGCATGACGGAAGCCCTCAGTAACTCTTGCGTGGTCGCTATCTAGCGGAGCTGCATGTATTTGTAATTCCTCTGTACCACCGCCGCCACAGACTGAGGCGATAAACCACTGTGCTGTGCATCGTTCATCTTCCAGACGTTTCCTCAGTGTCAGCTAGGCCAGTCAGCAGCATTCCTACCCTCACCACCACCAGCAGCAGCAGCAGCAGCAGCAGCAGCAGCAGCAGCAGCTCAGAGGACAGCTAACATTATATCCCTCCTGCTTGCCTCTTTTGTTGATCGCACCTGCCCTGTGTCTCCTCGTGCAAGATCCCCTTCCTCTTCATCCCCGTGGTGTCGTGTACATGTGTCAAGGATTGCTGTTGCGCAGATACAGAAAAGACATATCAGTTTCAGCAGTCTGCAGGGATTAACTTTTTTTTTTTTCCCCTTTTCGTTTTTTTAAATACACAACACAGAGTTTTTCCTGCTCTCATGCTGGTCTTGATCACATCCCTGAATCAGTAGCACAAAGACTTACTGTACTTATCTGCACTTCTTGACAAGACAGAAAATGTGTCTCAATAGAAAGACAAGACAGTGTTTTAGTTGTTTTTTTTGTATTCACATTTGCAGATAATTGCTACAGTTTAATTCAATTAACCATTAAAAAAAAATCAAAATGTGCTCATTCTGCACTCCAATTAGGCTCTTGATTTTTGTCAAATAGTATTTGACCCCGGTCTGATGTCTTTTAGCGAGGTCACAGTGTTCTCGACGTGTTAGAGCAGATCTTTATAATCTTTTCTCTGCAGTGGATTGCCTGTCTTTTCTCCTCCATTCCCCCATTTTGGCTGTTGTCCTCATCCCTGTTATTATTGTTGTGTGTAGTGTGACTCCCAGTCGCTCCTTCCCTCTTCCTCCTCTTCTGCTTATTGCTGTGTGTCTCTCTCACTGTGTTTCTGTTTTCATCTGCTCCTTCCTGTGTTACCCAGGTCCAGCCACATGGGCCATGGCCACCTCCAAACCCGACATCATGATCATCTTACTCAGCAAACTCATCGAGGAGGGGGACAGCTTCTACAAGGTCAGAGAATGGGCGCCGCCCCCTGGAGCTCGGATATCATTGTTGGAATTGAAGAGATTTTAGTTGATTCTATTTACAAATGTTCAGATAAATGTATCTTTATGTTTGTCTCTGGTTTATGTTGTGAACCGTGATGTGAGGATAACCAGACTTCTTTCTGTTTGTCCGACAGAAGGGGAAGGTGAAGGAGGCAGCGCAGCGTTATCAGTATGCCCTCAAAAAGTTTCCACGCGAAGGCTTCAGCGATGACCTCAAGACATTCAGGGAACTCAAAGTATCGCTCTTCCTCAACCTGTCCCGATGTCGGAGGAAAATGAACGTGAGTCTGCAGACGACCAGCTGAGTGAATGTCACAGTTTCAGGGATTTACTAAAGCAGACTTATTTTAACTTTTGAGACGTTTCTCATATTAAAGTATCGGACATGTAATGACAATAAAGCTGTTGACTATATTTTCACACGTCTTTGTATGTGTTGGGTTTTGTTTAATCTCTCCAGGACTTTGGGATGGCTGAGGAATTTGCTACCAAGGCACTCGAACTGAAACCAAAATCGTTTGAAGCATACTATGCCAGAGCACGCGCCAAGCGTAGCAGCAGGTACACTCCTTTCACCCATCTACACATCATAATCAATTAAATATGTGAGATACTCTTTGATATACATTTTAAATCGTTTCTGCAGCTACATTCTCCACTCATATTTGTGCTCATGCATCGTGACTCCCAATATGCTCCTCCATACCGCTCTGGACGACTTTTTTCCCCCAGAACTAACCTTCGTTGTCCTCTTTCCAGACAATTTCCTGAAGCCTTAGAGGACCTGAACGAAGCCATGAGGCAGTGCCCCAACAACCGAGAGATCCAGCGGCTGCTCCAGAGGGTAGAGGAGGAATATCACCAGCTCAACGAGGAGGAGCAGCAGCAGCTGGAGCTGGAGCCTCCCCCCTCCCCTCCTCCTACGCCTCCCCCAGAAGACGAGGAGTCCCTGTCCCTGTCCCTGTCCATGCCTCTTCCCCCTCCGCCAGAGCCCCGTCTGGAGGACATGGAGCCCGTCCAGGACCTGTTTGAGGACGAGGACTACCTGGAGCAGGAGCTGGAGGCCATGTCTGTGTGTCTGCCCCCACCCGAGTCTCTCAGCAATCCGTCCAGCCTCACCATCATTCACAGCCCACCGCTCTCCCCAACACATCCAGATCAGATCTACTTAGCTGGAGGTTTGCCCATGGGCCAGCCTTACGAATATCACCCCACCTCCTCCTCCATGTCCTCTCCAACCCGCGGGTCATACCAGCACACATCGCCCTCCCTCTCCCCAACACATCAGAACCACTATCGACACAGCCCGCCTCACACCTCCCCGGTGCACCAGTCGTCCTACGGCTTCGGCTCGCCTTCTATGTGTCCTGGGGGTCAGGGGATGGATCACCAGAGCCCACCGCCTTCCCCTTTACGTCGAGCTGCTCAGTACAGAGCCAGTCCGCCAGTAGAGAGTGTTTGTATGTACAGGTCCCAGTCTGGTTCACCTGTGCGCTACCAGACAGAGCAGCTCCCCGGCCGACCCAAATCTCCCCTCTCCAAGATGAGCAGCCAGCGTTCATTCCAGCTGAGCTCTCAGCCTTCTCTGTCCTCCCAGCACCACCAAGCCCAAGGCCTTCGTCTTCAGCCTTCTATAGCCCAAATAGTCCGCACAAACCAGCCCAGCAACGTGATGGGCAACAGCATCTACGCTGGCCAGATGGGGCACTCCATGGGTGGTCGCTACCAGGGGGGTTCAGTGGACGTTGAGAGCCGGCTGGTGTACCAGCCCTCCCTGGATGGACGGTCCATGCCCCAGGTCCAGGCCAGCCTCAGCTCTGGGGCCCTCTGTCAGCACGGTGGCCGAGGAGGGGTTATGGAGTCGAGCCTGTTGAAGGATGAGCTACCCCAGCGCCCCTCCTCTGCCTACCGCGCCAGCAGCGGGGGCCCAGGGGGCATCCGTTACAGCCAGACACCTCAGATAAGCCGTAGCCAGTCGGCCGCCTACTACCCGGTCTCTGAACACGTGCTGGAGCGAGCCAATGCCATGCCCCCTTGCCAGCTGGGCTCTCCTGAGATCCCACATATGGTGAGACGCCCCGTCAGTGCCAATACTACTGAGTTGAAGCAGCATGTGCCCACCCCCAGGCCTCTCATCCATTCTCAGAGCGTAGGCCTTCGATTCTCCCCCTCCAGCAACAACATCTCAACTGGATCCACCTCAAATTTAGCGCCGGGTTTCAGGCCGTCCTCTTCCATCCAGCAGATGGAGATCCCCCTGCAAGCCACTTATGAGCACGCCTGCGATGACATGTCTCCCATCTCTCCCTCCCAGGGTGGCGGGGGGCTGTATCCGGGCGAGAGCACCCGCTCTCGGAACACACCCTTCATGGGCATCATAGACAAGACGGCGCGGACTCAGCAGTACCTGCATCAGCCCTCGCGGTCCAGGGCCATGACGTCGATGGACTCTGTCATCAGCCCCACTTCGCCTGGCCAGCTGGTCCACCAAGGCTCCACCTACAGTCCCCCCGCCTCGCTGGGCAACATCGCCTACTACAACAAGACCAACAACGCCCAAAATGGACACCTGTTGGAGGAGGACTACTACACCCAGACCCAGCCCCCCTCGCTGGGCAAGCTGACCAACGGCTCTCGCGGCAATGGGGACATCCTGGAGCGGGTCAGCCAGGTGCCCACCTACCCGGATGTGAAGGTGGCGAGGACTCTGCCCGTGGCACAGGCCTACCAGGACAACATGTACCGCCAGCTCTCGCGTGACTCCCGGACCCAAGGCCCCACCTCCCCCATCAAACCAAAGAGACCGTTTGTGGAGTCAAATGTGTGATGGTCTGTCTGTGATTGGTTGGCTGTGGACTGGACTTGTTAGTGGGAAGTGAGAGGTGAAAAATATTTAGCTCAACAGCAGATGCTGCTGACCCTTGTGTATGTGGACATGGACGAACTCATCCTAAAGAACTCATCGGGAGACAGTCAGAGAGAAAACCACACACACTTAGGGTACTAGACATTATCCGAAAAACATAACTAACGGAGAGAAGCGATTATTTCATTATCATATTCTGCACACAGGTGAGATAACAGGAGGGTCCTAAGTGCTGATCTCATACTGAATCAAAGACCAGCGCACTTCAACATGTTGTGTGGCACAAAGATCCCACAAGTGAACACAACAGCGGGCGGGACTGTAAGAGTGAAAGTACTAATCATCGGACTCTACTTGTGGACTCTGTATCCATCTTCTGTTCTTTCAAAGTGTGCTCTTAACCAAGGTTGCTAGTAGGCTCTATTCTATGTAATACAATAGTATATGTTCAATACTGTACATTGCTCAGAAAATACAAATGGCTCAACAACTCAGTACTTAGAGAAAAATGACAATATTTATAATTAAGTTATATATTGTACATAGAAAGAAAACATAGTTTGCGTTTGAATTGTATTCTGTTAACCTTGCCTTTGTGTCCCACTGCTAGTCATATGGATGTGGAAAACCGAGCAGGGTAAGGAATGAGGGACAACGACCAACTTTGAGTGATATAATTACCTCTATTGTGGCAAAATAAAAAAGATTCTGTTGTGGTTTAATGAGAGAAAATGCGTTCTCTGCTGCAGTACGTCCTCGATGATCGGAAGGCCGCACCCGACGAGTACTTTCTTTATCGGTTAATCTACAGATTCTTTTTTTCTGTACAATGTCAGAAAATAGTCAAAGAAATCGAGTATAATCCAACATGACGCCTTCAAAACCCCAAAGACATTCAGTTAAAGATATATAACACACAGAAAAGCAGTGAATCTTCACACCGGAGGAAGCTAGAACCAGAGAACGTTTGGCCTTTTAATTTCCCGTCAATCAAATTGCTTTTAGCTCTAAATTTACAAACACTTATAGAGATTAAAATCTTACCCAAAGTACCACATAGTGCATGTATGCACTTTTGAAAAGCCCAGGTATTAAAAAGCTTTTTTTTGCATATATTTTGTTGATTCAATCATTTTAAACTTTGCCTCATTTCTTAGGTTCAGATACACAAATTATGACTTTCTATAAATGTTTTATTTTGGATAATTACTATATCACAGACCTCAGGGTCAAGGCTGAAATCTCTGACATATTGGACCAGCTCCCTGTCAATAAACTGCTTTGAATACTCAATCATCTGCTTACATAAACAGGCGAAGCATCAGTTGCTGTAGGGTTTTTTTACAAGCTCGTCTGATAGTTTTTGCAGAATTCTTTAAACTTGTTTCGAGGACAGATCGATGTATTTGGCCTTGAGTGCAATAAATTCTAGTTTGAATCTTTGGTTACAGGAAGTTTTAATCAATGAATGATGCTGGTCAAATGCTGAATAGGGTGATTTTATCATGTGGCACATGGGTATCAAAGTTGGTCTTTGTCCCTCCTCCGCAGGTAATCGCGCCGTGTGTTCCTGAGACAGAGTACATATGCTAGTGATGGGTTGACATGGATAGTGCTCAGCGATTAAAAGCAAGCAAATGCATACACAACCACTGTTACAGACGTTTCCCCTTTCTCCTGCATTATTCTGTGTCGTTTCTTTTTACCCACAATGCATTTTTATTCCGCCACTTCTGCACTAAAAATGCCTGTTAAGTTCTTAACTAAGGGTGCACTTTATGTATTTTACTTACTTTGTTGTTATGATTGTTGGAATTGGAGAAAGTGGGTTTGTGATCAAACAGACCTCTGACCAGTGATACCAGACTATCATAGACACTATTATTAATATTATTATTATTGTTGTATGATTTACAAAGCAGTGATGAATGACAATATGAAGAGCAAACAATGTTTTTGAACTGATGAAGATGTATAGACTTTCTAGCACAAGTTGTATATACTGACTCAGATATTCCACTCACTTCAGCTCGGGTTTGTTAGTGAAGCAAGTCCGTTTCAGGAGTCCAATCATATTTAAGTATTCCACATCTTTAAAATAAAATATATATACATTAAAGTCCTCTATCTCTAGATCAGCCAGTCTAATCTACTGGCTTTGCACACATCTTGAAATTAAGTCGAATCTACTGCAACAAAAATAAAGAGTATGACTGAGGTTTCAGTGCCCTGAAACTCCATGTTTGGGTGATGGAGAAAGTGGAATACTGAGAATATCCAAGTTAATTGTATATGTGGGAAAAGTTATAGACCATTTGTCTGTAACATTTTATTTTGGTTTCTCTGATAAAGAATATCTAAGGAGGGACAGTTCCTTCTCAGTTCCACCTGCTACCAGAGAGATGCCCTACTCTTCTTTACAGAAGTGAAGATATGAGCTGTATTATACTTAATTTAAGAGGACTTCTAAGTTGAGGATATTCAAGGGTGTATGGTTTCAAGCTGTCTATGTATATTAGTTTGCTGTAAATAATCTGATGCATGTTCTATTCTTTCCATGAGCTCAAGCAGAAACATGTATAGCGGTGTTCTGACCCTGGTGTGTGATACAACGTTGGGATCAAGATAAGGAGACTGCTATCCCTGAACTGTCCTTATCATTGTCCTTCAATCTCACCAGACAAAAAGCAAAAGGTTCTTTTATTTTATTTTAATGTATTTGCTTGCTGAGCAGAGTTCTCTTGTCTGTAAATGTGAGCTTTCAGATCGCTGTGATAAAAAGTTTAATTAAAAACAATAAAAAAGAATGTGTTTTTATCTCATGATAACTGATTGTAATCTGTACAGTCAAACCTATGTATTGGAGACAAAAAAAGAACATATTTATAAATGGTTACCAACTGAAACACACCCTGCATGTCAGTCATTTATTTTAAAGAATACTTTTATATAACATACACGTCATCTTATTTTGGATTATTCGTGGTCCACAAAACAACATATACCAGTGTGTCGACAGAGAAAGCTTCTGTACAATATGATGCAATTCAATGCCACTCCCAGAAATATTGCATTTTGTAAAGCTACTAGTGGAGAAATGAATGGTGTTGCATTGGATTGTGTGTAATTTACATCGTCCTACATCTGTTGACCCAAACAAAGTATGAGCCCAAATTTTTCTGGAAATGCTCCATCAGAGTTTTTCAATTGTTGAATTTTACACACCGTTATTTCATGCTAATATGCTCAAAAGGTAACTCCGCCCATTTCTCCACATCAGAATCTGTCTACAGGTGTCGGGTCTCCAGCGAAGCTACACGAAATCTGATAAATTCTGCCTCAAGTGATGTCACTTGAGGCAGTGTCTGTTGTGGCTGAAGACGGCAAGATTGAAAATTGAAAAAAATCTGTTGGTGGAGTTACAAGAAGTGAGTTTACCAGACCTCTGCAGCCGCTCCTCATCGCTGCTGCAGGTTGAGTTGCATTGTGGGTAATATAGGTGCCAGGTTTTTGACTCTCCACCGTTTTCGGAGTGCAATGCTGAACCAGTAGAGTACTGGTTTGACCTTTCCTGGTTAACGTTAATAATTGGAGTACTATAAAGTTCTGGCAGTCTTAAAATCGTAGGATCAAAATCCCTCGACTCTCTTGGGACACTTGTTCCAACTTCATAAACAATTTTCGGTCCTCAGACCTCATTGAGAAAATCTTTTCCATCTGATTTAACCGATCTGTTACCTGATGGAAGTCTGAGGGCTGAACCTTCATCAATACAGTGAGCACAAAGAGTCGACAGACTTTCTCTGGTAACATTCAAAGACTCTAGAACAAACATTCTAGACTGTCAAATATGGTTTTCAAGTCGCATATGTATTTTTAATGTGCAATGCCTCAAAACTGCACTTTTCCCACCAAAATATATATAGTATTAACACTTATTATTATTGCGGTATTTAGAGTTACTGCAAATATGAAAGAAATACAATCCCCACACTTAAGGCCCACGTAATCTCACCAATAAATAAGTTTGTAAAAGAACAAAAAGAAGGAGCAACTAACTACAGCCTTAACACTCCCATGAAATACTTCGAACAGACATTTTAAGTCCTTGGAGGGGTTCAAGACAGACAATAGTTTCTAGTCCTTCCTCTTTTTGTGTGTGAACAGGTGAACCAGTCCAGGCACAAGCACCATGACAATTTGAGGCACCATGACAAATTTGACAAAGAACAGCCCATAGAAGAGTCCCTGTGGTCGGACCGGGAGCGGCAGACGATTGACGTGGTACAGTCCCATGGACGAAATGGCCAGAGACAAAGCCCGAGGAGCCCAGGGCAGAGACCATCCGCCGGGCTTCCAGTACTGGGCCATCCCCAAACCCAGGAGGGCCCCGCAGTCTCGAGTCAGAGAGGAGAACGGGGCTGAATCCAGACGAATCCACTCCGCACGGCTGCACCATTTCTTAGCCAAAGCAATAGACCTGTGGAAGAAAAAAAATACATCAAGTCGGGGCAAATTTACTTCACCTCACAGAGCTTATTGTGCACTGAACAGACTCATCAACACACATAAATGAAACGAAAAGACGAACCAGGAGAGGTCGATTCCCAGTTGCTTCAGTCCAGCATGCAGCATCACAGTGCTGAACAGCAGGCCGATGCTCAAGCTAAAGAAGAACAGCAGGGAGCGACCGTCTGGGACTCTGCGGCTCAGAACGATCCCCAGAATGAAACCTGACAAAAGCAAGTCAATCAGTCAGAATATACATTTCTTCACCTGGCTGAGACTTGTTCTATAAGTTTATACTGTAGTTAACACCTTGTTTTAGTGGGAATTGCCGTAAATCAATTAGGTTTTATGGTGATTTTGGATTCCTATGATTTTTGCATCAGTGTGAAGAAGTTCTTAAATTCAATGGATTAGCCAGAAACAACCAATACTGTCCAGTTCTTCTATCTAGTTATGATTTTCCAGGAAATGTACTGTATAATGTTGTGCTCAATGTTTGTATGTAACATTACATATACGGGGGTAATATGGTTTAATCCATTGCCCTACAGACACTCCATGTTTTAGCTTGTGCATGAAACTGTGTTCAGACCTGTAATGGAGCCGGCGATGACCTGGTGAGGGAAGTGTGCGAGGATGAAGATCCTGGAGATTCCAACCGCCACCAGCATCACCACATAGAGCAGGTAGGGAGCAGCTGATAACATCACACTGCAGCCACACACAAAGAGAGTCATTAAACAATAGCTCTGACAGTCTCCATTTTCTTTATCCGGGCTTTTGTTTATTTCAAATGGACCTACCTGTGAGTACGTGAGTAGAGGAATGACCCCAGTGAGGACACCACGACCCACCAGACTGCTGCCGTCACCATCGCATGTCCCGACGGGCTGCCTGAGAGACGGAGGGCGGCTTTAGAGCTCTGGCTGTGCAGTGAACTAAGCGTGCTGTCTATGTCTGATACATGTTTGTTTTGTATTTCCGGGTTTCTCACCTGGGCCGGTTTCACAGGTGGAGGAAAACTGGTGAACGTTGGGTTGCTTGTTGACAAACAGACGGGACTCACCTATCCACCAGAATGGCCTTTCTCCAAACAGCATCCTGGGAAAGATTAAATAAACAATAACCATCTATCTCTACTAGAGTGCATAACAACATGACCTGAGGAAGTCTTTGTACTGCATATTAAACCTACTCCTGTTTGTCCAACAATCATATAATACTTTTTCTGTTTCAGTTTCTGCTAACTCTAAACTTAGGTCTGTATGTTTCTACACTAAACTCTTTACATCCTGTGAGAACAATGTCAACAGTTTCCTTACACCTCACATTTATCTCGTACTTTCTTGTATGTGAATTATGCATTTAACCCTGCACATCCTCACCTTAATTTAGAAGAAAATACATTTTCTTTTCTACACCTCCCTCCATGAATTTTAAACCTATAACATCCCCTCCTTTTTTTGCATTTGTTCCATATTTCATTCCTTCATGGTGTATAAAAATATCATCGTCACAACTCTTAATTCTCTTTTTGGCAATTTATCAGCATACATTTTATTTTATCCATGAGGAAATGCCACTACTAATAACTACTACACAATACTGTATATAAAAGGTTCCGCTTGTATCTGTTTCATGTCGGACAGTACACTCTGCTGGACTGCGTTTACTTTCCAGGAACTGCAACGTCAACAGAATAAAATCAAAAAAAACATTTCTGATTGCGAATAGAAATATAAAGAATACAACACTACAGTTGCCTTTGTATCTATAAAATATTGACTCATCTGAATGTCAACTGTCCGTTTAGCGTCATTCTAACACGTTCGAATAACATTAGAAACGTATTTAAAAACCTGTTGGCTAACTTACTTACCATTTAAACACCAAGTTTAACCACTCTGATATAGCTGCCACCCAAAGCACCGCTACTCCAGCTCGTTTGCTGATGAAATATGTGAGGGGAAAGACGAGCAGAAAGGCTGCTTTAGGATCTCCAATATGAGTGACAACCAGCCACATCTTTTCTAGACTTATCGTCCTCTGCTGTAGACTTTCAGCCATCCAGATGCCATGGGTGTGAACGGCCTCCATGACTGCGTGCGTACTCTCCCGAAACATATACTACTACTAAATAATCAAGACGCAATCCTGATTATTTTGCAGCAAAGCTTGCAGTACCGTCATGTCTCCAGTAGGGGGAGCTGTTAGGATGAAGAGCGGTTGAATCGTGTTTAATGGGAGACAAAGCCACAGCTTTATACTTCAATTAATTGAATTATATATACATCAAAGTGAATGTTATCAAGTATGATTTATATATCTTAGACTAACTAATATTATTAAGAAAATATGACCCAGTTGTTTTGTTTATTTTGTATACTATAAGTACAAGGCATCCTGATCCATACCAGTTGGTGGCGGTAATGCACCGATTCATTGTTTGCAAACCGCCAATAAACCTAAAAGAAGAAGAAGTAGAAGAAGAAGGAGGAGAAGAAGAAGAAGCTAGCCGTACCGCCGTATCTCCAGTTGTTGAATGGGAGACAAAGCCACAGCTTTATATTTCGATTAATTTAATTACATTTACATGTTATCAACAATTAGTGGAAGATTTAATGATGAAACATTATGTTACATAGATTAAATTATGATTGTGTTCGTGGTATTGGAGTAAAATCACCACGACGCGACGTAATACTTCGACACGCCCATGGTTTCGTCTCATACGACATCGCGTCGTTTTACGTAAGGCAGGCGCTCCGGTTTCCTGGCGGAGAAGATGGCGGCTCCTGGACCGGGGGAGTATTTCAGCGTCGGGAGCCATGTCTCTTGCCTCACCTGCTTGGGCCAACGTCTGCAAGGAGAAGTGGTCGCGTTTGACTACCAGTCCAAGATGTTAACTCTGAGTATCCTTTCGTTTGTTTCGAGCTACGGGACGGTTTGCTTGGCTGGCCTGCCTGGCTCGCAAGGGCCTGTAGGGGTAACCGTAAAATGTGTCGAATAGTGATCCGCGCAGGCGTAATTGGTGGTAGCCGAGTTGCATATCTTTGTCCGTTTAAAATACTTTAATTCAGAAGATAGTCGCCAATCCTCTTTGTATATATTGAAGACATTATATATGTGACCGGGTCGTCCCGCGGCTTCACGTTATCTGCTAGGAAATAGCATGTGTTGTGAATCCACTCATTGTATTACCAGACCTCCAACATGGATCACTATCTGGCAACGAACCCTCTAGTAAAGGCATCATGGCTGTTTGCTCTCAACAGGCACCAACCGTTGCTAAGCTAACTGACATTCGGCGATACCTCGCGCCGGCTCGCGTGCCCCCCTCTATTCACACCACCACATAGTTTGTGATGACATTTTTTGCCGTTGATACTAACGGTTGATTTTCAAACGGCAGTTGAGAACGGACACAGAGTGTTCCCTTCCAACGCTACAATGAAGTTGTGTGTTAGCTTCGGCTAACATGCTATCTGTCGGTCAACCACACACTGCCGCTACTATTAGCTCAATTAATGCTATTAGCATTCCCGAGCTTATCAGCAGGGCTTTTTCCCCCGCGTCTCATCCGATTCTGGTGACATTGTTGTTATTATTGGGTGAATTATTCCACAGATTTGTTTAATTTCAACAAAATTCAAGTGTCACAGCTAGCAGTGAGTTCATTACCACCAACGTTAGCTTGCCGATGAGCATGTCTACACCCTTTTCATAGGTGTGTGTGTGAGATGCACATTATGTAACTTGGTGGCATGCTGGATCAGCTGATGATTTGTATTAATTTATGTGTTGTGGTTTAGTTAACGACAACGCGGCCAAGCTGTGAGGGTGTAGCACCCAAAAAATGAATGAAGTTATTAATACAGAGCGGAGGTTTGACAGTTGGCATCACAGGCCTTTTTGGTTTGTTTGACACTTCAGTGCCATCCAACATAAGCTGAATTAATATCTCAGTCACATTTGGTTTTCAGTAAAGCCATCTTGACTCAGGCAGTGCGGTAGAAAATGTACATGAAGCTTTCTTGTTCAGGGCTTAGATTTAATCTAATGATGAAGCTCAAAATGAAACTAAACATCAGGCCGATACTGAAAGTTTGAGTAATTTAAGTTTACTACTTAGGTCATCATGCTGTCACAGTGCTAACAGGTCAAATTCTGACCTGCCTTGTGTCTTTTTAATATTTAAAAATTAAAGAGAACTTTAAAAAAATTATGCAATATCTTGCAGATCTAACTAAAATGAGGAAAGCCTGCTGTGCATCAGAATCACAGTGACAAGTCTGACACCTGTTCTGTATTACTGACGGGGAAACCACAAATGTGTTAAGATAATTCTGCGACAGTCTTTTACATTGTGTGTGTGTGTGTGTGTGTGTGTATATTTCTGTACATAACTTGTTTTTCACTCTGACATTTCATTCTGGGAAAATTAAGGACTTAATTTGACTAGTGCGCTTAAAGCTCAAGATGCTATGTCTGAGTTTATATCAATAATCAGGCATTTTGTAAAATAAGACAAACTGTCAGTGGGTAATTGACTCAAAAGAGGATTCATTTAGTGGGTTTTTCAGCAAAGAAAATCAAGAAGTGAACACTCTGTGCTGCTGTATGTATGTGCATTAGTTGTACAATTCTAAGGCCTTTCTTACAATTCATTCATTCATTCATCATAACTATAGGTGGCAGCACTTCCTCTGTAACTGGCACCACCTCTCGGTGTTAGTCGGCCAGTGTTCTCTGTATCATAAGCTCCTCTGTGTGGTCTTAACTGATAGTGTTCAGCTCTTAATACTTGTTCTGTGTCCTCGTCATGAAGTTGCGTTGCCTTGACTTTAGTTCTTTCCCAGAATGTGCTTCCTCCAGCGGTAAGCCGAACCTCAACGACGTCATCCTGATCAACTTAGCCTACGTTTCAGATGTGGACATAATTAATGACCGCACTGAGACTCCACCCCCACTAGCATCACTGAATGTTAGCAAGGTAAGTCTTTATTTTGTCTGTTACGTGTGTTGAGTGGGTCAGGAGTTGTGTATTGTAAGTGAATGTGAGGATGAAAATGAACTGAAAGTAAATGCCGTTTACTGCATATTCAGCTTGTGGTGACCTATTTGGTCTAGAAATATGAACTGCTGAGGAGCCTGGGGACACAGCGTTTATAAAAATTACATTCTTATTGATGGATCTTTTTGTATTGCAAAAATAATTCATGTTTTTATGTAGATTACGCCTTGTGTTGTTTTTTTTTTGTTTTTTTTTTACTCTAGTCAGGCTTTGCTGAGCTCTGATGTGATGCTCTCCGTGTTCCTACATTCAAATCATTTGTAGGCAAATCTGTAAAAGTGAAATGTAAAGAGAAAGACAACTTTGTTGTCACAATTATGAATGGAAATTAGATTTATAAAATGTCATCTAGAGTCTCCCCTGTGGAGCAAAGTATTGTGAGCAAGATTTCCTTTATTGATTATGCAAAACATCTCAGAAGACACGTTTTGAAACCGTCCTGTTCTTATTCCAGTTAAAGATATAAAGCTGATCCTGGTTCAAAGCTGTTAAATAATGTTAAAAATGTCTTTTGTGATCTTTTTGCAGCTTGCCAATCGAGCACGGTCAGAAAAGGAGGACAAGCTGTCCCAAGCCTATGCAATCAGTGCTGGGGTTTCTGTGGAGGGCCAACAGCTATTCCAGACTATTCACAAAACGTAAGAACTTCACACCAGCTGCTCAACGTTCTACAGTGATCAGAAGCATCCGTACATGTGTGTTATAGATAACTAGGACGAAATTGTGCTGATATTCAAGTATTTTATTCCATCTGTAGTTGGCTAACTTCACCTGACCCGTCACGCATAGATTACATTTCTGATGGAGACCTCATACCTTTTCTGAGCAAAGGGCTTAAAGCTGATCTTATTCCTTCAGTGACTATGATTCACCATGTGATTAGAGCTGGTAGTGAGTCCGCAATAGATCGGGACCCTGACCCGATAGACCCGGGTTCAGAGTCAGCTCATCCCGAGACTACAACAAAGTCTAAACAAAAAAAAATTTAAAAGAAAACTTAAACAAAGACTTTATGCTGTCAATCCAGCTAGAAAGTCACATTTAACACACAATTTGACCAACGGAATGAATGTTGTTAGAATATATAATTGTTTAATCGATGATGTTTGCTTCTCTTCGCAGCATCAAAGACTGTAAATGGCAGGAGAAGAACATTATGGTGATGGACGATGTCGTTATCTCGCCGCCTTACCAGGTTGAGAACTGCAAAGGCAAAGAGGGAAGCGCTTTAAGTCATGTACGCAAAATAGTAAGTATGCTTCATGTCGCTACGATATTTCACACGCAGTACACGACTGTAGCCAGACAGCCAGCTTCAACATTACATCTTACATGTCACTGCATTAAGAAGAAGAACTTAAGAGTCGATTTGTTTTACTTTTATGCTTGCAGTACATTTTCTTGATTTATGCTTTCACGTGAAATTGTAACCTACACACTCAAAAATAGAAAATTAGCGCATATGCGATAATTTCGGTCCCAGTCTGAAGCCCTGAAAGTTAAAACATCATAATAAACACATCTCGCATGACTTCCTGTGGCTACATGTAATAGTAAAGCATTGTTTTGTCCCTGCCAACACTTAGAAGCCATGAACAGGTTCAATAGAAATTCACCCCAGCATCAGCTGCTGATTCACTGTCCTACCTGCTGCTGCCGGCTCTCCATGTAACTGAATATGTAGCGTTGCATTATGTTGTGCACATGAGAAGGGACAGAAGTAGTTGTGAATGAAACAAGAGAGCTGGAGAGATTATTTAAAGTCCTGCCTGATCGAATGAAAGAATACAACTAAACACTTCCATTACTACCCACGGCCACCGTCACGATATCCAATTTTCACTGCACCATTGTGGCCAAAATAATTCACAATAACGATATGGCAATATTTTGACATTATCATATGTGTATTAACATATGATTTCATTTTTAAATACGACGGTTATCGTCCCACCATGTGTAAGTTATTTGAAGACCAGGTTGTACCTTCATAACCTGTTAGTACTTTATACAGCATTGTGATTATTTACAGACCAGATCTGTACAATGACGGCATGAGACGTGTTTTTAGGGTTGAAAATGTCAGTTGTTTTTTTTTTTTTTTAATGCTGTGGTTTCGTTCTTGCAGGTTGAGAAACATTTTAGAGACGTAGAAAGTCAGAAGTCCATGCAACGTTCACAAGCACAGCAAACACAGAAGGACTCCACTTTATCTTCTTGAGTTGGCAGCGTTGGGTCGACCGGCGAAGGCGACGCGGGTGGTTTTGTTCCCACTGCCAGACGAAGTCGGCATTCCTTGTCCTGAGTCGGAGACCACAAGGAGGAGCGCTGAGGGCCCTGGATCCAGAAGATCTAAATACCATTAAAAGAAAAAGACAAAAAAGAAAGAGGAAAGATTAAATCTTAAATTAGACTTTATAAAGAATAATTTAAACATGAACCATAAAGCAACCATAGTTTTCCTTAACTAACTCGTCTCATTCCCCCCCCCCCCCCCCCATCTCCTCTTCCTCTTCCCCCTCTTGTCCCTGAAGCCTTTTCTTTTTCCGCCCTCCTTCCTTTGCCTTCAGTTCCATTTCAAAAAGAGAAAACTAGAGCAGTCAGAAAGGCTTGTTAGCTTTATTTTCTGTCATTGTTTCCTTTTTTGCTGTATCCATGTTCTACTGTCTGTATTTTCTGTATTTTAAACAAAATGTGACTTGAAACGCCACACTTTAAGGACATTTTCTAAAATAAAAGTAACAAAAATTCTGACTGTAATATGGTAATTTTCAACCACTTTTTGAAGGACTCGCTTAAAAAACGATTTTAACTTCACATATTCCGCAAGTATTCATCTCAGGGGGCATAACCAAGGGTAGAATGTGTGTCACTGACATGTTTGTGATTTGTCCTCATGGTGGCGGATCCTGCCGACACATTGTCCACATTGTCGAGCAGATGAGGTCTTCATGCTCAGGTTTCTTCTCACAGGTTGTTCAGAAGCCTGAGTAATGCTTCCATGTAGTGACAGGGAACTGAAGCCAACGCTGTAACAAGTTAATTATTAAGTGTCTTAATCCTCTGGCTTCTCCAAAGCTGCTTGATGACATTCACTGCTGTCCTCTTGGCGTGAAATCTTTATTTAAACGTGGAGTTTACAAGGTTAACTTAATACGGCTCTTGGAGCTTTATTTGTGTGGACAATACTGCCTTAAAAACTGATTTCTATGCTTTTGGGTGGAGTTACAGGTAGATTTCTGGTGGGCTGGTGTGGTTTGATGGTAGTTGGTTCACTGGTAACTCGATTATAATAAATCTGGAAGATTGTCAATATCAAATCTTCAGATTATTTTCTTGAGTAATTGGTTTGTTCTGAAAAATAGTTTAAAGTACTTAAAATGTCTCGTTTTGTTTGACAAACGGTACAAAACCCCCAAAATATTCATTTTTTTTTTCTGTAGTGAAAACATTCACTACCTGCAAATTTTAGAGGCTGTTCTAAAACTATTGATTGATCATTAGAATTATATCTTTGCCTAATGAGCCACAGTGCTGCAAACACAATACATCTTGTGGTGTTTTTACATTGTAAATGATGAAGCTCGATTCCCTCACCAACATGTAATGTGGTGAAACATCAAGACAAATAAAAACGGCATCATGCATCCAAATAGAGGAGCAGATGTAAATCCTTATTTCAGGAAAGGCTCCAACGCAGACAAGGTTTGCTCCCCAGCTATGGTTACGCTTTGTGATTATCTGTTTAAGCCCATAATCCCTCTCTAATCAGGAATATCCAAAATCTGGTCAGAGAATTTAGTGAAATGACATCAATATCGGGCTGTATAACGCAAGATGCCCGTCAGTGGCTGCACAATGCTCGCTGTGATGCTTCTGCTGCCTCCTCTTCTGGACGCAGTGTTGGGCCTCAAGCTGTGTCCCAGCCGCTGCCTGTGCGACGAACCCTCCGACCTGGTGGACTGCCGGTCTCGTGGTCTAGTCCGGGTCCCTCCCAATGTCCCCCACGGCATCTGGCTGCTGGACCTGAGTGGGAACCGGCTGACTGAGGTACACACCAGATCCTTCATGGGGCTGTGGTCTCTGAAGATCCTCCTGATGTCCAACAGCAGCATCCAGACTCTGCAGCCACAGGTACCCAAAATAGGAACTGCATTGAGTTTTATTCTGCACCCAATACTTTATTATAGACCAGTGGTGGTGCATTACTATTTCATGACTTTAATTTAGTTTTTATTGGTTCATTAATATGTTTAATGTTGCAGCTTGTGGAGCTGAAACTAATAAATACTACTAATAATACTTTATATACTAGAAGTTTAATCTATAGTAAATAAAACATTTTATATTTAAGTTAAGTCGATATTTGTATGTGAAATCTTAACATACAAAATAAATTAACCAAAGCTTTAAACTGCAATAAATTATTATTTTCATTATCTAGTAAGCATTGATTATTTTTCGAGTCATCGGAGACATTTTGTCTACTAAATGTTAGAAGGTAGTTTCAAAAAAGGGGAAAAACAATGAAACCAAAGATTTGTAATTTAGGAAGATGTAAAAAGCAGCTAATCATCACCATTGAGAAGATAATATTAGCATTTCTTTGATGAATGACAAACATTTATCATTATCAAAATTGATTATTTATTAATTGTTTCTGCTCTACTGTGAAAAATATCTTGTTGGGTAGAAAGTACAATATCTTCCACTGAAATTAGTATAAAGTAGCATATAATAGTAAGTCCTCAAAGTACGATTACCTCAAACGGTACTAGAGTAATTCACTTAGTTACATTCCACCAGTGTTTTGCTTATATTCTGTCCTGATTCTGCTTTTCAGTGTCTGTCGTCGCTGCAGTTTCTGGAGAGGCTGGACTTGAGTTTTAACCGGCTGCGTTGGCTCCCTCAGGACTTCTCCCAGAGGCTGTCCTCCCTCCAGGAGCTCCAGCTGGACCACAACCTGCTGCAGCACCTGGACTCCACCTCGCTGGGTGATTTTGAAAGCCTGATGAAGCTGGACCTCAGTTACAACCGCATCCGGGCGATGGACGTCGGGGCTTTCAGCCGCCTGTCTCGACTGAGCCTCCTCAACCTGACGGGAAACGTGCTGAACGTGCTGAAAGATGGCGTGTTGAGCAGGCAGCAGCGACTGGAGGTGCTGCTGCTCGGCCACAACAACATCTCACTGATCGAGACACAAGCTCTTGCTCCTTTGCGGAGTCTGACGCTGTTTGGTCTCAAGGGGAACCAGCTGGAGCACATCAGGTTCAAGACCTTCCTGAAGCTCCAGACCACCTCCACCCACCTCCAGATGTCCTTCAACCCCTGGACCTGCGACTGCGAGCTGCAGCGCGTCTTCAGCAAGATCCGTCACGTTCGACATCTGCACGTGGACGACTACAAGGACATCGTGTGCCACGCTCCTCTTCAGCAAGCCGGGAGCCTCCTGGCGTCGCTGGACAGCCAGCTGTGCATCGCTGAGACGGCATCGGTGCTCGTCATCACTATCACCGTGATGCTGGCTGTGATTGGTACCCTGATCAAAGCAGAGCACAACCGCAGCAAGAACAAACAAACTGCAAGTGATACAGACTCAGAGAGACAAGAAAGATGAAGAAGATGTTTTATTCATGGCCAGGGGTGGCCTGGTAATACCAACACGTTGTTTCATAATAGGTTGTAGTCAACCACACTATGTCACATTTCATTCACATGGTCTGACTTTAGTTTTATATTTAGATCACCTTTAAAGCTTTCTTTCAAAGCACAAGAGAGTGAATTGTTACGACCGGCTCGGGAGTCGCAACATATAGGAGGGACGCAACACCAAGTTAGGTTAAAAACAACCACAGCTGCCAGTTTATTTACAGGACACAAGTAAACTGTAGTGTGCAAATCCCACTGCAGACCAGGGTCTGGTGCCAGGCAGATGAGAGAGAGCGAGGGCGGAGCAAGGAGGCGCTTATATAGGTAAACCACATCCTCATCCAGGTGCCCTCAATCACTTGTTAGGGAGCTGCACCTAGAAGTCAAAAGACACAGAATACACACACATGCACACACACACACCCAAGCACAAATATTCACAGCAGGATATAGAACCATACGTAACACTAGCCCAATACAAAGTGTATTACAATGTAATATAAGTAATACACAAGCGCTAGAAACACAATCTTGTTCACTATAACGCAATCACACACGCAGACTTGAGCTTCAGGAGGGTGATGTCTTGTAGAAGTTGCCTCTATGTATACCCTCTAAACCCACCAGGGGACCAGATGTCTGAACAAAGCCGATGACACGCTATACTATGACTTTTTCATGACTTTTTTCGACATGATATGACAAAAAGTCATAGTTTAACATCAGAGTCAGAGTATATAGTATATCAAATATAGTGATGAAAAGTCATAGTATAGTATGTTTCTAAACTCAAACTCAAAACTCAGAGTCTGTGTCGTGGTATTTGACGTTCTGACATGACCACAGATAACGTAGTCGTAAGCATCTAGTGATGTGAATGCTTGTAATATCTTTCCGGTTTCTCCACCAAATACATGTATATATCTGACCACTAAATATTGGGCCACTTGCTGATGTTTTCTACCCACTCACCAATAGCACACTGATCAGGAAAGTCCATTTGTTTAAGTGGCATTTGTGATCTTTGGTGGTCAATGCTCTTGCATAGCTTGAGAAGCTACTGCACTCCACTATACTTCCATCGCTGCGAGCGCTCACTTATGAACGTTATTGTTTATGAACTGTAAATGATCTGGTAAATTGAGAGAAATTCACACGAGTTAAATTTTAAGTATCCCTTTATTTGCAAATGATTTAAACCATATACTGTGCAGTATTATTATACCATTTAAGACTATGCTTTTTGGAGTAGAAGGTATATTCTCTGTAGATATACAGTACCAATACTCAACATTAGTGTCATGTTTCAGAGCATAACAGAGACAAAAATGTAAACATGAATCTGAATAAATAATTGAATTGCGAAAAAAAAGGAAGCTTGTGTTTTTTTTCCTTCTTTTTCTTGCAAAAGCAAAGATACCATCTGGTGCGCAAAGACAATCGACGCCGCTTCCATCCAACAGTCTCAGTCTGGAGTGTTTGAATCCTGAGAGGTCACCGAGCGACGGCAGCTTTGAGTACAAAGTCAGGCTCTGGCGCAAAAGGCCGACAACCGCATCCTGCGGAAGACACCTCGGTCTGTAAAAATCTGTCTGTGAGAGCCCAAAGGGTTCAACCGTCAGTGGCCAGGATCAGCACGGCGCCGAAGATGCCCACGTTATGTCCGATCAGCTTCATCTGGTTCCAGAACTCCACCTTGCGAGTGTGGTGCCAGTAGCCGAGATTACCGTCAATGAGCAGGATCACCAGAGGCAGGGTGGTGGCCAGGATCTGCGCGGCCAGGCGGACGTAGTAGCCAGAGAGGAAGGCCAGAGCCAGCACCCCAAACAGCACCTCCAGCAGCATCAGGGTGATCTCTCCTCCCACGATGTGGTTCAGATAGGCCTGCTGGTCCTCTTTGCTGTGCTGGAGGGAGTACACCTAGTGGGGGGAAAAGTGGTACTGCGTTATTTAACGGGACACCGAAAACAGGTTTTAGTGTGTACAGTATGACTGTATGTGGTTTGTACATATTGATCTTAAGTAGGTCTCCATGTAGTGATCACAAGAAGATACAGACAATAATCTTGGTCGGACTCAGTGAATCCAAACTTAAAAAGCCTTTAAATTGTCTTGTTAAGACAATGGCTGCAACTAATACTTATTATCAATTCATCTACCAATTACTTTCTTGATTAGGATTAAAAATGATTAAAATGTTAGAAGATAACGAGAAATGAGCTTCGGTACCTCAGCAGTGTGAAGTGTCAGAGTGTCTTACTGAGTCTGTCCACATCCAAATTAAAAAAAAAAAAAAAAAAAAAAAAAAAAAGAATAAAAGTGACGTGGGTCTTACCATGCAGATGAGGTAAACTCCCAGGAAGACTTGTCCCGTAGACTGCAGGGATCTGCTGCGAGGTTTCTGCCTGTACACCTCCCCCGCCCCGCTGGCCAGGACCAGAAAGCCTCCAATAATGGCCAGCGCTCTGGAATACATCCGTACCTGCAGGGCAACAACGTTCAGGCTGTAATAACCACGTAATAACTCACGTTTACGCTACAAAGTCAATCTATAACAAAACCAGTGTTTCACCGACCATGTTTATAGAGTTATACACACAGCTAACATCTCCAATGTCAGCCTGGTTCCTTTTCAGAACTGGGTTAGAATTGAATAATAGAACTAGACTAAATGATATTTCTAGAGCAGCAAGAATTTGCCAGATTTTAAGATTCATGGCAAACTGAGTTCAACAGCAACTACATACAGACAGCTTTTGTTTTAGCTTGTGTAGCCGAGGTTTATGCTGAGTTTATACTTAATGACGGACAAATGGAAACATAATCCACGAGTCCCATTATTTAAAGTGTATAACGATACCATGAGTATTGTTATCAGAAGGCTGCACACAGGTAACTTAGTGAACCTCAGCGTTGTTACTGTAAACCACAGAAGGTGACTCACCTTAAGCCAGTCCCCGTAGTACACCTGTTCTCCAACATACGATGCGTACGTGCTGACAGCCAGTTGTACGGCAGCGGCCATTGCAAACCACCTCCTCTTCACCCCAAAGGACATGAAGCTGGCGCAGAGCACTGCAGCCCCCATGTCCACATACAGGTATGGTACATGGATGTCCGGCTTCCTGGAGATGACAATGAATGAAAAGAGGTTAAATATGTAATTTATACAGCGACTGCTTTATCATTATTGCTTGCCTCATAACGTATTGCATGTGTATTTATTGTGTATCGCAAAGAGGTAGTCAGAACACAAGCTGTACATTGCAGTGAAATGCTTCTGCAGCAACGACCCAAAATAATTGTGTCAAGTCTACAAGAATAAAAGGATTTTTGAGATATACCGCTGTTGTGTGAGATTATTAGTTTTTGCCTTTGAAAAAAAATAATTTCACATTCATGAAGCTGTAAGCAGCACATATTCAAGTGAAAACACCCAATTAATAAACAACATAAATCCAAATATTACTTATTGTAAGTGGACCCTTTCAGCACAACACTAACTAAAACACTCTTGCACCTATTTTAACAGAGAGGGAAAATAACCCAAATGAAAGAGGCAGCCAAGTATGACAAAGTAATTACAGGATAATTCAGAGAGGGGTGTGGTAGTCCAAATGTAAAGACCAGCCAACCGCAGACTGAAACAATACACGCCCAGTGTACAAAATAGATTGAAGCCACCTTTAGCATTACCAACAGCAGTCAGAAAATTACAGACCAGGCAAAATATAACATATAATTATAATTTAAACAGCTCCATATGGCTTAAACCTTTTGCTTGAGGTTGCTGTTAGCTAGCTCGTTAGTTAGCATTAGCTATTTCCCAGGGCTCTATTCGCTCACTCTTCTTACCTTTTAGAGTCCGCTCGTTCAGCAAACAGCATCAACATGCTGAAGCAGTTCCAAAACCCGAACCGGGTCAAAATAAACGCTCCCAACTGGCTGAGAAACCTTAAAGTCTGCTTCCTGCTGGGAGCTGCCATTGCTGCTGCTATCTATCCGCCAACTATACGTTAGTCAAAAAGAACTTCCGGTCAAAATACACACAATTTTCGAAATAAAAGCACACGTCTTTCTATTCGTATAGAACGTGGCTGTAATTCATATGCAGATGCTCTTATTTTGAAAAGATATTCTGTTCTAGTGCACACACGTCTTCCTATTGGCTGATGGAACCAAGTGGACCGGATAGATTCATTCATTGGTGCCGGAGCCGTATAAAGAGAGAGTCGCGTTAACGGAAGTTGGAAATGCTGGATTGTCACGTGATTCATGTAGACTTCAGATAGTTCCAGGAAGTACTCGGCGGGCAATTTGCATGCGTAGATATTGGTAGAAATCGGTAGAAACTTCTTATATAAGTCTATGGTACAAACAGAGAGACAGTATTGTGATGTTTGCTAATTAATAGTTAATAAATCAACTTATTAATGACGCTATATCGTGACTTGTTGTTGTAAACATTACTGTCGCTGCTCTAGAAACTCTTTTGTTGTATCTAAATCATAAATAACTTCCAATCCTGTTCTGTATTAATTTGTTTTTAAAGTTCTATATGTGTTTTTAAAAGCAATCATTTAGTCATGTATCCCTAGTAATTCTGCAACCTCACCACTAGATGCCACTAAAGCGCACACACTGTCCCTTAACATATGAACATTTAAGCGCTGAACCAGAGAATATTTGAAATGTTTTTGTTGAACGACTACTTCATTATTTAAAGCCACAATGAAAGTGATTCAAAGTATGGAACTGAAATAGGACAAACAAATAGGGGAGGGGAGTATTTCATCAGGTGATTACAGTGCTGTTGATCCACAGTGACGTGTCTCGCGTTAATCTTTAGTAGATGAGACTAACCCAGATCCTGAAAATGGCTTATTGAGAGTCCTGCTGAAGGTTTAGTTCAGGATCAGTAGCTTGCCATGTCTCAGATGAAATGTCAGTTGGAGGTGAGTAGCACAGAGTGGTGGGACTAGTTTCACACAGCCACAACATTTATTCATAAAAGCTTTAGCTTCAGCTCCAGAAACAATAGTTTGAATGGCTTCACTTCACTTTCACTGGATCTGTGAGTTTTCTGTTTGTATCAACAAGCTTTTTTTCAGCCCAACAAGCCTCCATCCATCCATTAACTAAACCTGTTATTTCTATGTAGGGCTGGATGCTGCAGCCTATCCCTGGTTACATTAAGTGAGAGGTGGGGTTAGGTGTGCTAACATATAATGTAGATAGAGAGATAGATAGATAGATATGTACTTTATTCATCGCCAGGGGGGAATTTGTATGTTACAGCAGCAAGACACACCAAGAAGCAAAGTAACAGAGTAACCAAAAATATTAAGTATTAAAAAATGCACAATATATACAATAGAATAACAGAGTAGGACAAATTAAATATCAGAATATAGAATATATAAAAATGCACAGTATATACAATGAAATAGAATACAGTATAAGGACGCTATAATTTAATAATTTACATTTACATTTACATTTATGGGTACTTTAAAGGACCAAAAAAATGCCAGTGAATTTGAATTCAGGATCAACACAAACAATCACAAGAAATTAAAAATATTCTCAGTGTTAAAAGAATACAAAATAATGCAAACTTTACTAAACAAACATATATGCATCTATGCATGTTTTGTTTCCCAAACCCTGGTTGTAAACAGGAAGGGTAGTGTCTTTAAAGACACATTTAGTAAAAACGTCAGTATCACTAGATGGTAGCCTTCTACGCGTCCACATTTTGTTTATTAGAATGACGTCGCAACTGATTAGATGGAGTCCCAGATTAAAGTATAAAATCAAATCAATGGTGAAGACTTGGCCTCCTTCCTCTTAGCACAAGGCCCAGTGCTCATGATGTATACAACGATGAAGTGTTACCGCCGTTAAAGCCGAGTCAAATGTCTGACTTAGCTAATGATATCATATTTAAAGTATCAATAAAAAGTAATTGAGAAACAAAACAGTTTAAGTCAAAGTTTATAAGAGCCCAGCAGGACAAAGCTTGCCTCAAGAAGCTGCACATTTCTCAGGGTAACAGGAAAAAGTATCAGAATAATAACTGTAAATAAGGGCGCTAATAATATAAGGACAAGTCTTGGAGAAGCCCATTATGAAGAAATAAACAACAAATGCTGGTCTTTTCAAATGTAAAGAGAAGGCCAACCCACTGTTTGATACAGAATACAGCGATGAGAGCCATAACTTTCTATAAATCTACAGGCTGAATGCTAACCAGCATACTGTTCACATGTTCCTCAGAGGAGACATAAGGACCCAGAGCTTTCTAATACAAGGGCTTTGTTCAGAGTGAGATCACACAATTGATTTCTGATCTGCTTTGGATTAAGAATCAGCTCTTCACTTTTAAAAGAAGGAAGTTAGGTCACATCCATCATTTGCTCGAGAGGCAGATGTGAAGTTGAGCACACACAGTTAGAAACAGATGATGTGAAGATGACACGTCTATTGTTTTCTATGTCCCACTTTCTCCACCTGACCTGCAGGTCTATAAGGATCCCTTACCTTCCTCCTTCCTGTTCAGAGGTTACGGCTCCTGATTGTTTAATCTCATCAGGGGGGATTGGTGCCATCAGGTCCAATCCTTTGCCGACCTTTCCCGAAAAGCCAGCAGCAGGGATCAGCTGGGATGAAGAGCAGTGGGACAGAAGGGATGAGTCAGTGTGAAGAAGCGACCGGACTACAGGGACGCATACAGTCGATGAGCTCTTAGGAGCCAACACATTTCTCACATTTTTGGGGATCCCACCATCTAACAGGTAACGATTGATGATTGAGATGTTTGTCTATGATGGATTTACATTTATTTTGTCAAAGGATTTGAAGAGAATAACCTAAAGAAACTATATATATTTTTATTTTAACATTTTGATCTTGCTTTCCTCTTACAGTCAGGATGGCTCGGGATATGTCAGATAAGGAAATCTTGAAAATGGAGCTGGACCAGTTGAAGAAGGAAGTTAGCACAACTAGGACACCGGTAAGTAAATTACCTCTTTAAAAATATATTTTTAAAAATACCTTTTCTTGCCTTCGATTGTTAGGATTCTGTCCAATATCATCTCTAATTGTAGCTACCAAAAGCTTTCGTGTTAAAACAATGTGGGAAAACAAATTAGGGGAGATAAATGCTGAATGAATTTGTAGCATGCAAATTGAAATCTTTGTTGAGCTTACATTTGTCTCCATCTTTCCTCTCAACAACAGCTGGCTGCAAGTTGTGCAGAAACGGTCTCTTATGTCGAGGCGCTGGTACCAAACGATCCGCTGATAAAGGGCGTTGCAGATGACAAGAACCCCTACAAGGGAGACAAGGGAGGCTGCGTACTAACATAGCACAAAGACACGCAGGGAATAGTCAAACAGTTTTTTATGAGAGCCGGTTACATCGCTGTTTTCATCCCTGTGGAATCCTTGTGGGTAAAAATGTACAGTAGTAGGAACACTGAGATCTGTAAAGGTTATTGCTACCAGGAGAAAGACCCTTTTCCGTCACCGGATTACTGTATGTACCTGTTGATATGAAAATGTTTCTTTGCCAATTTGTAATTAAATGCAAATAGCTGTACAAAGCTTTGACCTGACCTGGCTTCTCTTCTTCTTATGACATGTACATTAGGATATCTCACTTTTATTGCACTCCTAACTGCACTTTCATCTCATTATATCATATTGGTTAATGTTAAATAGGGTTGACTGGATATTGGTCGGTCATCATTTGTCAACATGACATTTAACTCTGTTGCTGTAGAAGGCGGAACAACGTCACAGGAGTCGTGCAGCTACTGCTTAGTCTAATTCTTAATAGGATTTCTCCTCACAGTCGGTCACACTGTCGACACAGAGCTGCTTCCTGTATCAGCGTCTTTAAGCTCATTCCAGCGGCTTCATGCCGGCTTCCATTTCGGGCTCTCCATCCAATTAGTGCCATTTTCAATCTCCGTAACAACAAATACAACTATATGAACGTAGCTTTTGTAATGTAAAGGTTTAATTTCTAAGATTGCAAAAAACAAACATGCTGCATTGAAGCTGTTTCTGTCCAATGACCATAGGCAGCACATATCAGCACCTTTGCACAACTGTCTCCAAGATTGTAGTTACCTTTTTATGGTTACTTATCATTTGGAGGACATCGGTGATACAGTATATCAGTATTTTACTTCATTGTCAAAACAACCTCTAAGATTTAAACTTCCCGCTTCAGTTAAGGAGCTTAGTCCATGAAAATTAATTATAATAAGTTGAACGTCGAAAAATGTCTTATTCTAGCTGCGAAAAACCAAGATGGCGATAGCAAAAATGACAAAATCAAAGTTTCAAATCCGTCATTGTGACTACGTCCAATTCTTATGTGCAGTCTATGGTTTTCACGAGGAAGAGGAATGTTTCTTTGCTTCTGTTGCATCTATTTTTATTTTATTTTATAATATCATATATTATTATAAAGTTAAATGTGCAGAGTGCCCTTTTACCTTTTAAGTATCCAATGACAATACTATAAATAACACTGATCACATACCATAACTGATTAAACCAATCCAGTATGTCAGAAATGTGTTTGATTGAATTTTATGGCAAAAAAATTATCTATATATTCAGATATAAACATTCTCAAATAAGAAAAGAATCATAGAGGTCTATGAATTAGTTTCCGGTCATTTAAATAAAATTGTGTGGTTTTTCCTTTGTCTGTCTGAATTTAAAATAAAGTGGGGCCAACATAACAGCTTAGTTATATACTAAGTTGCGAAGTGTAATGTCTCAATTTCTTGCGTCTTTAAAAAAAAAAACACCAACTCTGTCTTTATTGAACCTAAAATTATAAAGTCTGTGATTTCCCTCAGCTGCATCGTTGTAAAGACATACACTTTGACACTGCATGTTTAAAGTCTAGGGTGTGTCCGCAGTCTTAATCTTAATTGTCTTATCAGATAAGAGTAATTGTGGATGTGTCAAATCAATGCAAGTTTCCTCTCTTTGGAATGACATGACATGACAACATACAGGAAGAAAACAAAATGTGTTATAACCCTCAGAAGTGTTTTAACTGTGTGAATTTGTTTACTGTAAAACCATTGATTTTTCAAAATATTATGCAGATTCCTCAAAGTGTGTTTATGGAATAGTGCATCTCTTTCAGCACTTTTTGTAGAATTTATTTAAAGACAAGGGAAATCAATAACTAAGAAAAGTGCCCATTATTTGCTTTTCGTATATTTGCACTGTCATCGCAAAAAAAATGTGTCTTTCACCACTTTATCTTTATTGCTTTTATCTCCAGACCTTCGGCCCTCGGCATAAGTAAAAAGAGCCTCATAAGGAGAGAAGTGCAGAGTAAAAACCTGTCACTGCTGCTGTGAACACGCTAACAGAAACAGTGATTTCATTGTCTCCACGATGTGGCTCTTGGTTTTCTTAGTGTGGTTGGTTATTTGGGCCGGTGGCACGTACTGGTACCTGTTTGGGAAACCGAGCCCTTTCTCGCTGGAGTCAGTGAGACCGCCTGGACCTCGAGAGCTTGATCAGAAGAAGCGGGACAAAGTCATCAAGCAAGGTAAAATGATTACAGTTAGAGATGCTTGTATGCAACATCGCAACTTATCACCACTGTCAAGCTGATCTTAAACCAGTTAAAGGTTTAAAAATGCATGTATGTTATTCCAACTCTCTAAGAAATATTACTAAACATGATCAACTCTCTACCAAATCCCAAAACTAGAATGCTAAAACTTACATTTGTGATGCCTTCAAGTATAAAGTGTGGAACTGCTCCACAGACAATGAATTGGGAAAGACGTTATAGATGACACTGAGTATATGGTTCATTTCTGTTTCACAACTGAGAACAACATATTCTTAATTTAGGTGGTGTTCACTTGATTAGCTCAAAGATAAAATACATTCAATGTTTAAAACATTATACTAATATGTTATTGTATGACTTGACAGTAAACTCCCTGGAGGAGAAAAAATGTGAAATGTAAAATTAAAATGACAAAATATGCTCTGCTTTAATTCTGTTGGATAAATAAAAACTTCCATGTTGATATGGGGTTTCTATACTTTTATGGCAGAAATGGACAACCTCAGCCAGCATCTGCCAAAAAAAAAAATTACAATGAGTGAACTGATAATTAAAATAAAATATGATTACTTAGTGCTTCTGTGAGAGAATTAAGAATTTCATGGAACAAAAGTCTGATTCATATCCGTGCAGAAATCACTGATGTGTTTACAATCTCCGCTGTCACAGAAATCAACTAATCATCTGATTATAGACCTTCTTATAATTTAGAAAACTTCAAAAGGATCTATAAAAAAGGACAATGCATATACAATTAGTTCACTGCAGTTCTTACAGCTGCTGAGGTGTGCTGGTACAGCTATCTAAAATACCTGTTTTCTGTGTCATAACTCAGAGTTTAGTACAATGATTGTTTTTCACCTGTAGGTTTTATCTTAATTAGATTATGGACCAGGAGATTATGTCTTCCGCCTAATCTACCGTTTATTACCAAGAGAACACAGATAGCGGGAATTAGATCAGAAGTGTTTATGACAGGAGAGGTATGAAGTGCAACATTATGCAACCCAATTATGCATGCTATTTCAGCATGATAACATTTACAACAGATCTTTGTTCAACCCGTCTTAACTAGAAAGATAAATTGTTACCATGTTAACATTCGCTCCGTGTGTTTTTACGTCCAGGTTTCAACCTTGACAAAGTGCCCCAGAACCTGGATGTCATCGTCATCGGGAGCGGTATTGGAGGGCTCACAGCTGGAGCCACACTGGCCAAAGCGGGGAAGAAAGTCCTGGTGCTGGAGCAACACGACCAGGCGGGAGGCTGCTGCCACACATACGTAGAGAAAGGCTTCGAGTTTGATGTTGGTAAGACTGCCTGCAATTTATGTGATTGACACATTTGTTCACTTATCATAGCTAAAGAAAAGCAAGTCTAGTTGAGGCACTTAGATCAAAGAAAAAATAACTTTTTTCTTTTAAACACTTATGACAGAGTCTATAAAGACAGCAAACACATAACCTTTAAACTATTTTCAGAGGGACTTTGGGGATTGAGACATTTTGTGGAGCCAATAACTTCCAGCCATAAAGGCCCTGCAGGCACCTCCACTTTGGCTTTTGGCTCCAAATCAAAGCACTCACATACAAATTATATTTTAGCAATGTCTTAATGAGACATTTGTGTTCATGTACATGTATGCAGGATCCTATAAAATGTGAACAACATTGCACATGTCAGGTGTGACTGAAGTAACACCATGTTCCTGTTTCCCGGTCTTTCTTCACCAGGCCTTCACTACATCGGTCAAGTCCACGAGAACAGTCTGCTGCGCATCGCCTTCGACCAGATCTCCGAGGGCCAGCTGGAGTTCCAGGAGCTAAAGCAACACTTCGACACCATCCAGATCGGCCTGGGTGACGAGAAACGAGAGTACACCATCTTCTCCGGCAAAACCGAGATGAAAGCCCATCTGATGAAGCAATTCCCTGACGACACAGAGGCCATCGAGACATTCTTCAAAATCATGAAGGTACCGTTAGATACTGGACACATATTTCAGTGCGTCGTCCGTCCAAAACATGAATCCCAAACATCCTCTGTGTCCCAACAGATCTCAGCTAAGAAGACTCACTACCTGGCCACTCTGAAGCTGATCCCACAGTGGGTGTCTTTGTTCCTGCTGAAGTCAGGCATCGGAAACCTCGTCACCCCGGTCTTCCGTCTCACTGGCACATGTGCAACGGACTTGGTGAACACCCTGACCAGCAACAAGGACCTCCACATCATCTTTTCTTATCTTTTCTATGGTGGGTTCTCAAAAATAAGTTTAAAAGAAATGAGTAAAAAGAAAACCAGAGATTTGGTCCAAAATGAGTCTCAAAAGCATCTGCACTTTTTTGTTCTTTTAAATGATTTGTCGATGACATTAAGTACAAGTCTTTGTGATTATAAGTCCTGATGTTGGGTTAATGATGTATACAATATATAACTTAATGAGTGGACTTGTAACTGGATGGCGGTCCCAGTTGGGCCTAAGATGAAGATATTATTATAAAGAAATAATTACCAGAAAGTAATAACCAATGCTTTGCTCTGTGTACATTTAGGCGTGCCTCCAAAGGAGTCCAGCGTCCTGATCAATGCCCTCCTGATTCATCACTACAAACGAGGCGCCTACTACCCTAAAGGTGGTGCCAGCGAGATCGCCTTCCACATCATCCGCACCATTCAGAAACATGGAGGAAACTGCCTGGTCAGAGCTCCCGTCTCCCAGATCCTGGTTAATGAAAACGGAGCCGCTTATGGTGAGAAATGATTCCAGCTCCAACTTCTTTTTTTACTTGTTAAAGGAGGACGTACTCTACAGGTAGCTGACTGAATACTTCCTTTGTGTGCCACGTAACAGGTGTGAAAGTGAGGAAAGGTCAGGAGGAAGTGGAGGTTCACGCACCTGTGATTGTTTCAAACTGTGGCATCTTCACCACCTTCCAGAAACTTCTTCCCCCTGAGATTCACATGAAGACAGGTGAGCAACACATAACTTATTACCAAAATAGTTTTTGTTGTGAAAATAAGGACGACATTTAAAAGTGTCTGTAAACTTGTAGATATTCAGGAAAGACTGAACATGATGAAACATGGCAGAGGATCATTCTTGGTCTTCTCTGGCTTTGATGGCACTGAAGAGGAGTTGGGTCTCGAGTCCACCAACTTCTGGCTGTTCAAAAACAACGATATGGACAAGTCGTAAGTCTGCAGAGCAGCCAACCCAATGAACACCAATATTTAATCAACACAAGGGAGCGCTGTTGTATAAGAAGTAGTAACACAATAAACTTCTTCTCAGTGTAGGTTTCCTCCAGGAACATCAACTTCCAAAAGAAAGTGTAGCTTCTGTACATTAAACATACTGTATATTACTGCATGTGGCTGATGTAATTGCCAAGTTAAGTTGAAGAATTATTTTATGCATGGCCATACTGCTGATAAGCTGCCCAGACCTGAATTTTCACATTTACATGTTATTTTGTTGTTGTTTTTTTAGGATGGAGGACTTCTTTGCATTGAGCAAAGAGGAAGCACCGGATAATATTCCCATGATGTTCATCACAATGCCATCTGCCAAAGACCCAGAAGCCAAAATCAGACACCCAGGTAGAAACACCCACTACTGTTGAAAATATTAGTTGTGACAGGAAACGATGTCCAAAAGAAAGAAAGCAGTGTGCTTGAATTAAAAGATAAAGAGACATTTGTAAAGATGTACTGCTACTAGAAAATCTCACAAATTGGATATGATCTCGTACAAAATACCACGTCTGAGTCCATACAGATCAGGTGTGATGTCTTTTCTTCTTCCATGTTCACAGGTAAATGTTGCATGACAATACTCACGATGATGAAGTATGAATGGTTTGAGGAATGGAAGGACACTACAGTGCGCAAAAGGGGCGATGAATACCACAACTACAAAATGAGGTTTGCTAAGAACCTCTTTGACTGGGCCTGCACTTTGTTCCCTAAAATCAAAGACAAGGTAGGACCGGTCATTTTCTGTCATAAACGTCTATGCTTATGTGCTCGTTTGTTATCTGTGCATGTATATTTAACTGCTCTAAAACATCAAAAATACTTATTTATAGCCGTGAAAGCATGTCCAGAGTTACTGTAGGTTGTGCTTTTATTTCATACGTGTTGACTGCATCGTAATACTTGTACGACTCGTTTTTCAGTTGGTTTTCCAGGACGTGGCGACCCCGCTGACCAACATGCACTATCTGGGCTCCCAGCGTGGAGCCATGTACTCTGCCGAGCACAACCTCGAGCGTTTCCATGCCGAGAATGTGGCGAGGAACAGGTGCAACACCCCCGTCAAAAACCTCTACATCTCAGGTATGAAAAGTTACTTGTCCCACACTTTCATGTTAAAAAAAACACGGTCAATTCTTTGTGTTTTGTGATTGAGTGAAGTTTTCACGGGCACAGAAATGTCTCAACATGCCCGATTGACTCTTTGATGCTTTGAAATGTTGAGTTTCTTCTCAACAAACTTAATTTACCTCTACAGAAAGTAAGAAAGTCACAAAGCAGAAGGAATTAAAGCTTGTGAAGAAAACATTATCTAGAAGGGAAACACAGACAGTGTTTTGAATCCAGACTAGATAGACGTGTCTCATCCAGCAGGGTGTATTTGTGTGTCTGTTCCAGGTCAAGACGTGTTCAGCTGTGGGATAGCAGGCGCTCTGCATGGCGGACTCCTCTGCGCCTCCGCGGTGTTGGATCACATCGTCTACATCGACTTGCTCCTCCTCAAGAAGAAGCTGAAGAAGAGGAAAGCCAGAGAGTTGGCCCAGCTGGCTAACAAGAAACTGCAGTGAGAGTGCTCTGTACTTCCCCTGCAGGACAATAGTGAAACGGCACAAACCAGGTATAAACTTGATAAAACAAATGAAAATTCACACTCTGTCTATCCAAATGCTCAAAACATTAAACTTGTAAAGTGCTTAAAACTGTAAAAGTTACAGAAAGATTATAGAAGATGTTAAATACTTAAAACAATTAAGAAATTAAGATTCTTGAATTAAACAGGAAATCATTTTGAAAACATCAACTAAAAGCCTTAATGTGTAGATTTGATTGTGTGATCAAATCAATCTATCCAGAATAATCAAGTATGATGGGAGATTATCTTTGCTAATTATTTATACATCACACACTGGTGAACTGAGACTGTAAGTCCCCTCTGGGTTTTTTAGTTCCCACCTATGTTGTTCTGACCTCTCTTATAACCCAAGTGTTGTTTGGGTAACTGCTGAAATCAAACGTACGGGGGGGAAACCTCAGACTTCCTGCACTAAGTGAACATTTCCTCAGTAAACGGAGGGCACATTGGCTGACAAAGTGTGGTCTGCAGGAGACGACCGGGGGGATCCGAGGAGAAGAATGCCCCTTCTGTCCAGCCAGCCGGTGGGATGCCAGTGGCTCTCTCGCTCTCTTAACCTCCATCCCTCTGCTGTGCAAACCCAGGGAAAAGCTCTCCCTGCTGCTAGACATGCTCTGGTGTGCAAGTTGCTACTGCTACACTTTTCCCAGCTCAGTACTTGTGAACAAAACAAAAAGAGGCAAGTTCAAGGAACGAGGAGCAAAATGGTAGGGAGAGGAGTTAATTATGTTGACTTTTGCCTGGCTTGAAGTTCAGTAGGCCACAACATGTAATTACCGTGGCATGATAAAGCGCAGTACTTCACCAGAAATAAATCCACATCCACAGACTCTTACTTTCCTATGCTGTGCTCCGACTGACTCACAGAGCTATAAACATACCCACCTGCCCTTTGAGCTCTGAAATAAAGTGAACCCTCCCTCTTTTAGCCACGCTAGTGCTGCGGCTGTAGGGATGGCAATGTGGACTGGTTGGTTAGTCCACCACTTTGGTCCAGACTGAAATATCTCAACGACATTTGAATGGATTGTCATGAAATTCAAGGTCCCCAGAGGATGAATCCTCGTGAATTTGCTGATCCCGACTTTTCCTCTGGCACCACCATGAGGGGAACATTTTAGTGAAACGTCTCACCAACTATTGGATGGATTATAATGAACTTTGGAAATGCTAATTTCCGCACCTTTTCCCGTGTGATACTGTGGGACTAGCGTTGATGTGAATATATAACAAAATCGACAGGGATTTGGAAAATGATCATAATTTATTATCGTACAAAACAGAAAATGAATATGCTCTCCTCATCGCCAACAGACTCCAGTAAGAGAACAGTCGTTTTACAGCGCTGATTGTCGTAAAAAACACTTCATATTCTGTGAAAATGTAACTGTCTAAATGAACAGAAACAAAATACAACTCATCAAAACCGTCGTTGTTAGTCATTCCACTGTTCCAACAATCACCTGGTGACTCTGGTTTGAGAGTTTGAAAGAGGAACTGAATAAGAAACAAAAGAATTAACTACCACAACATGTTTCTGTGATGTCAAACGTGACACGTCGAACGTTGGTTTTTATTCCTTATAATAACTACTCCTTTTACACATTGAATCAGTATCTATAGGAATTTCCCATCATAGTTTCCACTGGTTTGTAGACTGTTTATAAAACATTTCAACTTTGTAGTAACAAAAGGTTTTCCTATGTAATTGCAGAAAGTAAGTACAGAGACACTGAAGAGGAAATGTATCATTTCACTAAGAAAGTTCAGTATTCAACATGATAGAAAAGCCAGAATATGGGCAGATCTGAGGAGGAGGAATTTAAAGTTTTTCTTGACCAGCACAAGCACCACCTCCACCCCCTTCCTCTTTTTTTCCTCTTGCAGGCGGCTCCCACATGTTTAGACATGCCATTACATCGAGAGAGGCCCAGCGGTTCGGATCTCATAAACAGCAGTCCACTCTTTCCACTGTCTCAGCCGCTCTGTCCGACACTCTCTAATGCAGCAGAGTCACGCGTTTACATGAAACTAATATTTCAGAGGCTGTAGTTCTAATCCAACAACGCTCACACCTAAAAATATGTATTTACACAAAGCAAACTGTAAACTCGCAAGCACTGTGGCGTCAGGATTCACATTTCTAGGCTCTCATCTCTGTGTTTTCAGCCAGCTTTTCCTTCTTTTCCAGATGTTGAGCTCCTCCCCGCTGGCCTGCCGCAGACTCCCACAGCTTGAACCCGGCCAACAACCACAGCTGCTACCAATCTGAGGACTCTCATAAGAAACTTTTTCAGACGACCCAGATGAGAGGAAGACCCAGTCTGAAGATAGCACCCCGGATCAGACTGGGCTTAAAGGCATGAGCAGGTGATAAAAAAGCAATACCCCACATGTTTAAAGGGTCACTCCTACTTTAACTACTAACATTAACAACTTCTACTTCTATTTAGTGCAGTGTGATGCCCTTGATAGATGAAAACTTTAAATTTTGCCCAACATGAGGGTTTAAAGCCAAAGTTTTCACAGGAAAGAGAGAGTTTCTGTGGATGAAACCAAATTAGTTATTTTCCTGCTCCGCGTGGATCACAGACCTCTTCTCCGATGTCGGTGGAAATCTGCTCCTTGAGGCCAACTTTCTGTAGAGCTAAATGGAAAATCCAAGGAAAATGGCATCTTCCCCAAATCTCCATTTTGCCTAAAAACAACAACTCTTTCTAGAATCTGAAACACTACTGGTCCAACATGTCTGCACACGCAAGCTCAACACTAGCAGATGTACATAAAGTTTAGCTCTGAGTACTCTAGTCAGTCATGTCATTGGTATATACACTGATACAATGTTTTATTTCTGTCAATAAAATCGACAGAAATTAGCGCCAACCTACGGGGATTTGCTTTTCTTTGTCATATCTGATAGTAACTTGAATATTTCAGGTTTTTCTGACATTTTAGACACTTTCATGAACTAAAACTCGCAATAACTTGATCCAGCAGTTACAGAGCAACATCATCATCCATTTGGAGTCGTGCTTGTGTCCACCTGATGAATCAAAGCCCAATATTATCTCTCTTTAAGCTCAATGGTCTCTACCATCCTCTGATGGAAATATACGTCTCTTTAGCTGCCAATACTCCACTATGTTCACCAGCTAATTGCTAACTTTGTCTGACTACCGTTTGGTGTACAGCAGGTAGTGTACGGTCCGTTTTTTAAGCTTTTTTACGGAAACCGCTGCCTGATTCTGCTGATAACAATGTCATGAGAGCACCGAGAGTGAACCAAAACAGTAAAGTTGTCGGCCAGACAGCTAAAACAATGAGCTATCCTCAATTGACTTGATTGTTATTTCAAAAACATAGCTTATAGACATTTTAAAATCCAAGAAACCTATCAGCAGACTAATCTATAATAAAAATAATCGTTGGTTGCAGTCGTTAATTTCAATGCTACAACATTTTAGAAAGCTGAACTCATCAACATGCTTGTTAGCGTCCCTGTTTGCCGCATTTCCATTCTCAAACCAGATAAAGCTGGTAATTTGAGCTGCTATTTTGAAGTGTTTCCACCCCAAAGTTTCATCTAGTTTGAACACATCTACAATGACTTGCTTTTATCATGCTGCCACCTTGAAGAACTCAATTAACTGCCTCACTTTGTCACTTCTTCTTCATCTCAGCCTAACGACTGAATTAAAATGAAGGAATGTATCTTGGCGGGCCTCTACTTTCCCTTTTCAGCTGTTTGTAATATTTCCTGCGAGGCTGCGCCGCACATTTGATTGTAAATTATGATGGCATGTTGGCGTTTGGATAAGAGAGAGAGAGAGAGAGAGAGAGAGAGAGAGAGAGAGAGAGAGAGA